GAGCGGTGCTAGGGGAACAGCAGGGGGTGTGTAAAAAGGGGGTGGGACAGCTGGGGGAAGTTGAGAGGAGGCCGTCGACTTGTCGTCCGCAGCGCCTGAAGTCCAGGGAGCCACGACCCCCTGTGGCCTGAGTAGTCCGGGGCTCTGCGCCCGGTAGCTACAGTGTGTGCACTCCTGGGAGCACAGCGAGCCAGCTGCGACCCCCTGTCGCCGTGTAGTCCGGGTTTAGCCTGGTAGCGTCAGTGCGGCGTACTCCTGCTGCCTGTGTGTCTGCAGCTTCAGCCGTCGCCTCTCATCTTCTTGCTCCCACAGTTTCTCCTCCTCCTCACTTGCCCTCTGTGATAGCCTCTAGCTTTGCTTATAATTGTGAACTATTGCTCTGTCTGCTTGTTATGTTGATTGTACCCCACTTTGACTATGGGGGTGTGTCAGAATGTGATGGTTGTCTAGCCTGCAGTGGGGTACTCTATAGCGAGTACAGCCCTTCTAGGGTTTGCATATATGTATCCCTATGCTTGTTAGTCAAAACCCTTCTTGCCTGTTTCTCGTTTTGGCCTAGCATTTTGACAGGGGCAGCGAGGAACGGGCCGCCCACGGGCCTGGCATAGCCGCCCGAACCGCGCGCAGGCGGCCCGAGCCGCGCGCGGGCCTGGCGCTTCCCGTACGGGCCGCGCGCGGGCCTGGCGCAGCCCGTACGGGCCGCGCGCGGGCCTGGCGCAGCCCGTACGGGCCGCGCGCAGGCTGTACGGGCCGCGCGCAGGCCACGACGGGCGACGGGGGGCGACGCGCGGGTCCCCGTCGCCCGTCGCAGCGCCTCCCGGGGGCGACGCGCCGAGTGACGGGGCAGAAACCCGCCGCGCGCCTCGGGGCGCACGGCGGGCAGAGAACCGCCGCGCGCCTCGGGGCGCACGGCGGGCAGAAAACCGCCGCGCGCCTCGGGGCGCACGGCGGGCTGAAAACCCTAATTTCAACGCCGCGTACCACGAGGCGCGCGGCGGACAGGGAGTAGCAGTAGCAGCGGAAGCAGTGAAGTGGTGGGCCCACAGGACAGGAGCGTAACCGCTCTGATACCATGTCAAGATAGTAAGGACAGTGAGAAGCCATAGCTAGGGTTGACCTAGCTAGGCAAGCAAGAAATGAACAAAGGAGGGGTTGCACTAGTAAGAATGGGGATACAAATAGCAAACCCTAGAAGGGTTGTACTCGCTATAGAGCACCCCACTACAGGCTAGAGCATAATATTCTGACACGGTGCTTCGCCAGGTTCTTTCCCTCCCGTCTTCCACTGGCCTTCCCCTCCAGCCTGGCTCCCCCCTCCCTGCTCCTGTGCCTTACACTGCACAGCCGGACTCGCTTACGGAGCGTCGTGAGCCTGTGTCTCGTCCTGCCTCGCCTGTTCGTGCTGCTCGCACTGCTCGCACTGCGCGCACTGGTCCCACTGGTCGTCGTGTCGCGCGTCCGCGTCCTCCTCCTGTTCCTGGCACGCATATTATGGCCCTTCATCCTTCCACTGCTCCCCAGCGTGTCCCCCTACCGTCTCCTCCTGCGTCTTCTCTTCCTGACGTTCCCGACCCTGAGTCTGACAGTGTTCGTGCTGCCCACCCTACTGTTACGCGTCTTCTCGCCACTGTTGTCACTGACCCGTCTTTTGAGTCTGCTGCTGCGTCTGCCCTGGTCGCTGAGCTTGTCGACTTTGCTGCTGCCTGTCGTCTAGACTACGCCGCCAGTCTTGTTGCTGAGTCTGAGTCTGTCTGTCCTCCGTCCGTCGGGGGTGAGTGTGCTCTTGGCACGAACGTCCTTGAGGACAGGCAGGAGGACTTTGACTCTCTTGCGGCTGCTGTACCTCATCTCGTGGCCTGGTTGCTTGCCCCTGAGGGAGACCCGGATGCACTAGACATCCCCACTCCGCGCTCTTACGCAGAGGCGATCTCGGGTCCCTACTCCTCTCAGTGGCAGACAGCCATGGACGCAGAGATGGCATCCTGGAAGTCCACAGGCACCTACGTCGACGAGGTTCCCCCTCCTGGGGCGAACATCGTCGATGGCATGTGGATTTTCAGCCAAGAGTGCTGGGCGGGAACTGGCGCTGTAACCTTGCCCACTTTCTGGATTCAAAACATGCGATCAAGAGCATGTTGGACATTTGGCGGTTCTCTCTCCAAATCATCTTCTCTCGTGATGTTGATCGGACGGCTGAGCACATGGTTGTGGGCCCACATTACATCATCAATCATGCTAACCAGAGGATATTGCAGGCCCACCCTCGCTAACTCCACAATGGAATGAAATAAATACAAATCAAAACATGTCTTCAACAGAAAAACTCATAAGGCAGATAATACGGTGGCCGCATTCGTCAAAGGTGGTAAATAAATGGTGCTCCCAAACGTGCTCGACTGTGTGGAACCGCATCAATTTTGTTTTTACAAAATATCTACCCAATATACGATATTTAATGTCCCCAACATACCAAATGAAACTTGGGTTGAGTATTTAATGTTTATGATTTTGAGAAAAGTATGGCATGATACAAATGCATAAGGGTACAACAAGCATGCATACTCCTGGAAGTTCTCCAACAAGCATGGATACTCCTGGAAGTTCTCACTTTGAACCATACTACTGTCTTCAATGACATGAAATCTATAAACTGAGGAGATTCCATTGAATACATGATTTCTACTGTTGCTATTTCATTCCATTGTGATGTGGAGTTGTCGGGGATCAGCCCCGGATGTAATTACTTTCTGTACAGTACCGATCGATGATGTAATGTGGGCCCACAAGCATGTGCTCAGCCGTCCGATGAACATCACAATAGACGATGATTGGAGGGAGAACCGCCGAAGGTCCGCCAGCACCGAGGTCAATCTCCGGAGCGCAGTTTTTTTAACCCGCGCAAACACCAACTCAGCGCACACTTCCCGCTGCGCGCTTCTGTTAGCGACCGCCGTTGATTTGCGAACTGACTTTTCGTGTTCCCCACCTCTCCCCCCCGCCACTTTCTGCCACCCGCCCCGCGCGCCGCCTGGCGCAATCCTTCCCCAACCACTGACACCACTTTGGTTTGGCGCTGGTGGCGGAATGTCACCCTCGAACCAGCAGCACTCCCCCACCCAGCGAGCGAGAGTCAGCACTTCGGGTTGACCCTGGTCACCCTCGAGCCAGCTCCACCTCCATGCACATCCAGCCAGAATCAGGCACCCCTCCCGACCGAGTCACTATCCCACATTCCTCCCAGGGCCCTTCCACTCTGCTTTCTCCCACTCTCTCATCATGCCAAGCTAACAACTCCACTCAAGGCCGCCATGGATTTCGTGAAAGATAGTACGTTCTATGTGCTTTCGCTGAGGCTTCCGTCTACGTGGAATACGTCCGTTCGTTACTGATGGATTCTGAGTGTTTTTCGCGGTGGTTTAGTTCCGCTAAGCGTTTTTTTCCAGCTCGACAGTTAGATTCACCCTGGAGGCTGATGAAGCCGGCGAGCGACGAGCTGTTAGCAGCGATGAGGAGGCGAAAGGCGATAACCGACGAGCCTCGACCTCGGAGAAGCGACGAGCGGAATCAGATAGATGCGACGAGCGGAATCAAAGAGCTTAAATGCGAAGCAACCGTGTGCGGAACGGCGACTTGCTGCGTGCGACCGTGTGCACGACGCCGACTTGCTGCGTGCGACCGTGTACGGGACGACGACTTGCTGCGTGCGACCGTGTGCGCGGCGACTTGCTGCGTGCGACCGTGTGCGCGACGGCGACTTGCTGCGTGCGACCGTGTGCGCTACGGCGACTTGCTGCGTGCGACCGTGTGCGCGACGGCGACTAGCTGCGTGCGACCGTGTGCGCGACGGCGACTTTCTGCGTGCGACCGTGTGCGCTACGGCGACTTGCTGCGTGCGACCGTGTGCGCTACGGCGACTAGCTGCGTGCGACCATGTGCGCTACGGCGACGGGCTGCGTGCGACCGTGTGCGCGACGGCGACTTGCTGCGTGCGACCGTGTGCGCTACGGCGACTTGCTGCGTGCGACGGTGTGCGGGATGACGACTTGCTGCGTGCAACCGTGTGCGCGACGGCGACTTGCTGCGTGCGACCGTGTGCACGACGGCGACTTGCTGCGTGCGACCGTGTGCGCTACGGCGACTTGCTGCGTGCGACGGTGTGCGCGACGGCGACTTGCTGCGTGCGACCGTGTGCGGGATGACGACTTGCTGCGTGCAACCGTGTGCGCGACGGCGACTTGCTGCGTGCGACCGTGTGCACGACGCCGACTTGCTGCGTGCGACGGTGTGCGCGACGGCGACTTGCTGCGTGCGACCGTGTGCGCGACGGCGACTTGCTGCGTGCGACCGTGTGCGCGACGGCGACTTGCTGCGTGCGACCGTGTACGCGACGGCGACTTGCTGCGTGCGACCGTGTGCGCGACGGCGACTTGCTGCGTGCGACCGTGTGCGCGACGGCGACTAGCTGCGTGCGACCGTGTGCGCTACGGCGACGTGCTGCGTGCGACCGTGTGCGCGACGGCGACTTGCTGCGTGCGACCGTGTGCGCTACGGCGACTTGCTGCGTGCGACCGTGTGCGCGACGGCGACTTGCTGCGTGCGACCGTGTGCGCGACGGCGACTTGCTGCGTGCGACCGTGTGCGCGACGGCGACTTGCTGCGTGCGACCGTGTGCGCGACGGCGACTTGCTGCGTGCGACCGTGTGCGCGACGGCGACTTGCTGCATGCGACCGTGTGCGGGACGGCGACGTGCTGCGTGCGACCGTGTGCGCGACGGCGGCTTGCTGCGTGCGACCGTGTGCGGGATGGCGACTTGCTGCGTGCGACCGTGTACGGGATGGCGACTTGCTGCGTGCGACCGTGCGCGCGACGGCAACTTGCTGCGTGCGACCGTGTACGGGATGGCGAGCATGTGCAAAGGACGCTGCTCGCGAGGAGACGCAGCTGATGAACGGACGGAGCTCCATACGAAGCTCATGAATCTTTTACGAGGCATTTCGCCATGGTAAGTTGAGGGAATGTTTCATCACTTTGCATATTGAAACCTTGAGTTTTGTTTCTTCACTTTCTTCTATTTCGTTAGCATTCAGTGAATGTTCAGGTACTAATGCTGTCCGGTTTGACCTGTGCAGGTCCAAGGCCAGCTGCTCCAACTGCACCTGAGCCTGAGGCTGAGGAAACGACTGCTGCACCTGCTGCACCTGAGCCTGAGGCTGAGGAAACGACTGCTGCACCTGCTGCACCTGAGCCTGAGGCTGAGGAAACGACTGCTGCACCCGAGCCTGAGGAAACGACTGCAGCACCTGGGGGCTGAGGAAACGACTGCTGCACTGCTGCTGAGCGACTGCTGCCGAACGACTGCTGCCGAGCGACTGAGGCGAGGAGGATTGGCGCCACTGCTGCCGCACCGGAGGAACTTGTGAGTTGCCTTCCCTTCGTTGCGTTCCCTTCGTTAGCTAAATCTGTTTTTTAGCACCTTCAATATTGGAAGCTGTATCTGTTTTCTTTTAGCACCTGCAATACGTTGCCACCGTCCATTGTTTTATGCTTTCCTTGGCTCCTTTGTTCCTCTCCCCCATCTCTTTCCACCCTTTTCAGTGCACACCGCAAGCAGCAAGGCAGAGTGTGCCTGCCTGCCCTCCGCACACCAGCAGCAGCAAGGCCAGCAGGCAACGCTGTTGGTGAGGATGCGACGCGATGACGTGAGGAGGCGAAGGTGCTGACTTGCGCAGCTGAGGAGGCGAGGAAGCGACAAGGAGGCGAGGGGCTGCTGGCGAGGAGGCGAGGCGTGGGCGAACCTGCCTCCCTCTCCCACCCGCGACCCAGCTTATGTGAGTTCCCTACCCGCACAGCGTATGTGTGTTTTGCTCTCACCGCCTTGCTTTCTTTTGAAGCGATGCCCTATCGCTTCGTTGTCCCTATCTCTTGTCTCGTGCGCTGTCTCACCTCCTTGTCTCCACGTGCTCTCCTCCCCGTCCTTGCAGAGGCACAGGGACACAACGCATGGGCGTGGGGAGGCCAGGATCTGCAGAGGAGAGGAGGTGCAGAGGAGAGGAGGTGCAGAGGAGAGGAGGTGCAGAGGAGAGGAGAGGAGGTGCCAGAATCACTGACTGGCGGGGCTCGCACTGACCGCCATTCACCTTGTAAGTTGCCCTCCACCACTCGTTCCGCCCTGGTGCATTGGAATCTTAGCGTGTTTTTCTTTTTCTGTTTTTGTCAGACCTGAATAGCTCACTCAGTTCCCTTGTCTCCACGTGCTCCTTGCAGAGGCACGGTGCAGGGCGAGCTAGGGGCAGTACCCTGAGGTGACACTGGAGCACAACGCATGGGCGTGGGGAGGCCAGGAGACTGCTGCACCTGTGGAATTGCGGCAGTGGGATAACGCACGGCAGGCATTAAAGGAGCGGCGAGGCGAAGAGGGAGAGGTGCCGCTGCTGGCGAGCGCACGTGCATGCAGCTCCTAAATACAGCTAAGAAATCTCTCTTCTCTTCATATTTTCACGCACTTGTTTGCACTCGTTCTTCCACTGCTCGCCTTCGCTGTCATTGCCTGTCGTGATTGTGCCTGCTGCTTACTCCCTTGCGTGTGCTTGCGTGTTAGGTTGTAAGTGCGCCTGCTGCTTACTGCCTTGCGTGTGCTGGGAGCGAGTGCTGTGAGGGAGTGCTGTGAGGGAGTGCTGTGAGGGAGTGCTGTGAGGGAGTGCTGTGAGGGAGTGCTGTGAGCGAGTGCTGTGAGGGAGTGCTGGGAGCGAGTGCTGTGAGGGAGTGCTGTGAGGGAGTGCTGGGAGCGAGTGCTGTGAGGGAGTGCTGTGAGGGAGTGCTGTGAGGGAGTGCTGTGAGGGAGTGCTGTGAGGGAGTGCTGTGAGGGAGTGCTGTGAGGGAGTGCTGTGAGGGAGTGCTGTGAGGGAGTGCTGTGAGGGAGTGCTGTGAGGGAGTGCTGGGAGCGAGTGCTGTGAGGGAGTGCTGTGAGGGAGTGCTGTGAGGGAGTGCTGTGAGGGAGTGCTGGGAGCGAGTGCTGTGAGGGAGTGCTGTGAGGGAGTGCTGTGAGGGAGTGCTGTGAGGGAGTGCTGTGAGGGAGTGCTGTGAGGGAGTGCTGTGAGGGAGTGCTGTGAGGGAGTGCTGTGAGGGAGTGCTGTGAGGGAGTGCTGTGAGGGAGTGCTGGAGCGAGTGCTGTGAGGGAGTGCTGTGAGGGAGTGCTGTGAGGGAGTGCTGTGAGGGAGTGCTGTGAGGGAGTGCTGTGAGGGAGTGCTGGGAGCGAGTGCTGTGAGGGAGTGCTGTGAGGGAGTGCTGTGAGGGAGTGCTGTGAGGGAGTGCTGGGAGCGAGTGCTGTGAGGGAGTGCTGTGAGGGAGTGCTGTGAGGGAGTGCTGGGAGCGAGTGCTGTGAGGGAGTGCTGGGAGCGAGTGCTGTGAGGGAGTGCTGGGAGCGAGTGCTGTGAGGGAGTGCTGTGAGGGAGTGCTGTGAGGGAGTGCTGTGAGGGAGTGCTGTGAGGGAGTGCTGGGAGCGAGTGCTGTGAGGGAGTGCTGTGAGGGAGTGCTGTGAGGGAGTGCTGTGAGGGAGTGCTAGGAGCGAGTGCTGTGAGGGAGTGCTGTGAGGGAGTGCTGTGAGGGAGTGCTGTGAGGGAGTGCTGTGAGGGAGTGCTGTGAGGGAGTGCTGGGAGCGAGTGCTGTGAGGGAGTGCTGGGAGCGAGTGCTGTGAGGGAGTGCTGTGAGGGAGTGCTGTGAGGGAGTGCTGTGAGGGAGTGCTGTGAGGGAGTGCTGGGAGCGAGTGCTGTGAGGGAGTGCTGTGAGGGAGTGCTGTGAGGGAGTGCTGTGAGGGAGTGCTGGGAGCGAGTGCTGTGAGGGAGTGCTGTGAGGGAGTGCTGTGAGGGAGTGCTGTGAGGGAGTGCTGTGAGGGAGTGCTGTGAGGGAGTGCTGTGAGGGAGTGCTGTGAGCGAGTGCTGTGAGCTAGTGCTGTGAGGGAGTGCTGTGAGGGAGTGCTGGGAGCGAGTGCTGTGAGGGAGTGCTGTGAGGGAGTGCTGTGAGGGAGTGCTGTGAGGGAGTGCTGTGAGGGGGTGCTGTGAGGGAGTGCTGGGAGCGAGTGCTGTGAGCTAGTGCTGTGAGGGAGTGCTGTGAGGGAGTGCTGGGAGCGAGTGCTGTGAGGGAGTGCTGTGAGGGAGTGCTGTGAGGGAGTGCTGTGAGGGAGTGCTGTGAGGGAGTGCTGTGAGGGAGTGCTGTGAGGGAGTGCTGTGAGGGAGTGCTGTGAGGGAGTGCTGTGAGGGAGTGCTGTGAGGGAGTGCTGGGAGCGAGTGCTGTGAGGGAGTGCTGTGAGGGAGTGCTGTGAGGGAGTGCTGTGAGCGAGTGCTGTGAGCTAGTGCTGTGAGGGAGTGCTGTGAGGGAGTGCTGGGAGCGAGTGCTGGGAGCGAGTGCTGTGAGGGAGTGCTGTGAGGGAGTGCTGTGAGGGAGTGCTGTGAGGGAGTGCTGTGAGGGAGTGCTGTGAGGGAGTGCTGTGAGGGAGTGCTGTGAGGGAGTGCTGTGAGGGAGTGCTGTGAGGGAGTGCTGGGAGCGAGTGCTGTGAGGGAGTGCTGTGAGGGAGTGCTGTGAGGGAGTGCTGTGAGGGAGTGCTGTGAGGGAGTGCTGTGAGGGAGTGCTGTGAGGGAGTGCTGTGAGGGAGTGCTGGGAGCGAGTGCTGTGAGGGAGTGCTGTGAGGGAGTGCTGTGAGGGAGTGCTGTGAGGGAGTGCTGTGAGGGAGTGCTGTGAGGGAGTGCTGTGAGGGAGTGCTGTGAGGGAGTGCTGTGAGGGAGTGCTGTGAGGGAGTGCTGTGAGGGAGTGCTGTGAGGGAGTGCTGTGAGGGAGTGCTGTGAGGGAGTGCTGTGAGGGAGTGCTGTGAGGGAGTGCTGTGAGGGAGTGCTGTGAGGGAGTGCTGTGAGGGAGTGCTGTGAGGGAGTGCTGGGAGCGAGTGCTGTGAGGGAGTGCTGTGAGGGAGTGCTGTGAGGGAGTGCTGTGAGGGAGTGCTGTGAGGGAGTGCTGGGAGCGAGTGCTGTGAGGGAGTGCTGTGAGGGAGTGCTGTGAGGGAGTGCTGTGAGGGAGTGCTGTGAGGGAGTGCTGTGAGGGAGTGCTGTGAGGGAGTGCTGTGAGGGAGTGCTGTGAGGGAGTGCTGTGAGGGAGTGCTGCGAGGGAGTGCTGGGAGCGAGTGCTGTGAGGGAGTGCTGTGAGGGAGTGCTGTGAGGGAGTGCTGTGAGGGAGTGCTGTGAGGGAGTGCTGTGAGGGAGTGCTGTGAGGGAGTGCTGTGAGGGAGTGCTGTGAGGGAGTGCTGTGAGGGAGTGCTGGGAGGGAGTGCTGGGAGGGAGTGCTGGGAGGGAGTGCTGTGAGCGAGTGCTGTGAGCTAGTGCTGTGAGGGAGTGCTGTGAGGGAGTGCTGGGAGCGAGTGCTGTGAGGGAGTGCTGTGAGGGAGTGCTGTGAGGGAGTGCTGTGAGGGAGTGCTGTGAGGGGGTGCTGTGAGGGAGTGCTGGGAGCGAGTGCTGTGAGCTAGTGCTGTGAGGGAGTGCTGTGAGGGAGTGCTGGGAGCGAGTGCTGTGAGGGAGTGCTGTGAGGGAGTGCTGTGAGGGAGTGCTGTGAGGGAGTGCTGTGAGGGAGTGCTGTGAGGGAGTGCTGGGAGCGAGTGCTGTGAGGGAGTGCTGGGAGCGAGTGCTGTGAGGGAGTGCTGTGAGGGAGTGCTGTGAGGGAGTGCTGTGAGGGAGTGCTGGGAGCGAGTGCTGTGAGGGAGTGCTGTGAGGGAGTGCTGTGAGGGAGTGCTGTGAGGGAGTGCTGTGAGGGAGTGCTGTGAGGGAGTGCTGTGAGGGAGTGCTGTGAGCGAGTGCTGTGAGCTAGTGCTGTGAGGGAGTGCTGTGAGGGAGTGCTGGGAGCGAGTGCTGTGAGGGAGTGCTGTGAGGGAGTGCTGTGAGGGAGTGCTGTGAGGGAGTGCTGTGAGGGGGTGCTGTGAGGGAGTGCTGGGAGCGAGTGCTGTGAGCTAGTGCTGTGAGGGAGTGCTGTGAGGGAGTGCTGGGAGCGAGTGCTGTGAGGGAGTGCTGTGAGGGAGTGCTGTGAGGGAGTGCTGTGAGGGAGTGCTGTGAGGGAGTGCTGTGAGGGAGTGCTGTGAGGGAGTGCTGTGAGGGAGTGCTGTGAGGGAGTGCTGTGAGGGAGTGCTGTGAGGGAGTGCTGGGAGCGAGTGCTGTGAGGGAGTGCTGTGAGGGAGTGCTGTGAGGGAGTGCTGTGAGCGAGTGCTGTGAGCTAGTGCTGTGAGGGAGTGCTGTGAGGGAGTGCTGGGAGCGAGTGCTGGGAGCGAGTGCTGTGAGGGAGTGCTGTGAGGGAGTGCTGTGAGGGAGTGCTGTGAGGGAGTGCTGTGAGGGAGTGCTGTGAGGGAGTGCTGTGAGGGAGTGCTGTGAGGGAGTGCTGTGAGGGAGTGCTGTGAGGGAGTGCTGGGAGCAAGTGCTGTGAGGGAGTGCTGTGAGGGAGTGCTGTGAGGGAGTGCTGTGAGGGAGTGCTGTGAGGGAGTGCTGTGAGGGAGTGCTGTGAGGGAGTGCTGTGAGGGAGTGCTGTGAGGGAGTGCTGTGAGGGAGTGCTGTGAGGGAGTGCTGTGAGGGAGTGCTGTGAGGGAGTGCTGTGAGGGAGTGCTGTGAGGGAGTGCTGTGAGGGAGTGCTGTGAGGGGGTGCTGTGAGGGAGTGCTGGGAGCGAGTGCTGTGAGCTAGTGCTGTGAGGGAGTGCTGTGAGGGAGTGCTGGGAGCGAGTGCTGTGAGGGAGTGCTGTGAGGGAGTGCTGTGAGGGAGTGCTGTGAGGGAGTGCTGTGAGGGAGTGCTGTGAGGGAGTGCTGTGAGGGAGTGCTGTGAGGGAGTGCTGTGAGGGAGTGCTGGGAGGGAGTGCTGGGAGCGAGTGCTGTGAGGGAGTGCTGTGAGGGAGTGCTGTGAGGGAGTGCTGTGAGGGAGTGCTGGGAGGGAGTGCTGGGAGGGAGTGCTGGGAGGGAGTGCTGTGAGCGAGTGCTGTGAGCTAGTGCTGTGAGGGAGTGCTGTGAGGGAGTGCTGGGAGCGAGTGCTGTGAGGGAGTGCTGTGAGGGAGTGCTGTGAGGGAGTGCTGTGAGGGAGTGCTGTGAGGGGGTGCTGTGAGGGAGTGCTGGGAGCGAGTGCTGTGAGCTAGTGCTGTGAGGGAGTGCTGTGAGGGAGTGCTGGGAGCGAGTGCTGTGAGGGAGTGCTGTGAGGGAGTGCTGTGAGGGAGTGCTGTGAGGGAGTGCTGTGAGGGAGTGCTGTGAGGGAGTGCTGTGAGGGAGTGCTGTGAGGGAGTGCTGTGAGGGAGTGCTGTGAGGGAGTGCTGTGAGGGAGTGCTGGGAGCGAGTGCTGTGAGGGAGTGCTGTGAGGGAGTGCTGTGAGGGAGTGCTGTGAGCGAGTGCTGTGAGCTAGTGCTGTGAGGGAGTGCTGTGAGGGAGTGCTGGGAGCGAGTGCTGGGAGCGAGTGCTGTGAGGGAGTGCTGTGAGGGAGTGCTGTGAGGGAGTGCTGTGAGGGAGTGCTGTGAGGGAGTGCTGTGAGGGAGTGCTGTGAGGGAGTGCTGTGAGGGAGTGCTGTGAGGGAGTGCTGTGAGGGAGTGCTGGGAGCAAGTGCTGTGAGGGAGTGCTGTGAGGGAGTGCTGTGAGGGAGTGCTGTGAGGGAGTGCTGTGAGGGAGTGCTGTGAGGGAGTGCTGTGAGGGAGTGCTGTGAGGGAGTGCTGTGAGGGAGTGCTGTGAGGGAGTGCTGTGAGGGAGTGCTGTGAGGGAGTGCTGTGAGGGAGTGCTGTGAGGGAGTGCTGTGAGGGAGTGCTGTGAGGGAGTGCTGTGAGGGGGTGCTGTGAGGGAGTGCTGGGAGCGAGTGCTGTGAGCTAGTGCTGTGAGGGAGTGCTGTGAGGGAGTGCTGGGAGCGAGTGCTGTGAGGGAGTGCTGTGAGGGAGTGCTGTGAGGGAGTGCTGTGAGGGAGTGCTGTGAGGGAGTGCTGTGAGGGAGTGCTGTGAGGGAGTGCTGTGAGGGAGTGCTGTGAGGGAGTGCTGGGAGGGAGTGCTGGGAGCGAGTGCTGTGAGGGAGTGCTGTGAGGGAGTGCTGTGAGGGAGTGCTGTGAGGGAGTGCTGGGAGGGAGTGCTGGGAGGGAGTGCTGGGAGGGAGTGCTGTGAGCGAGTGCTGTGAGCTAGTGCTGTGAGGGAGTGCTGTGAGGGAGTGCTGGGAGCGAGTGCTGTGAGGGAGTGCTGTGAGGGAGTGCTGTGAGGGAGTGCTGTGAGGGAGTGCTGTGAGGGGGTGCTGTGAGGGAGTGCTGGGAGCGAGTGCTGTGAGCTACTGCTGTGAGGGAGTGCTGTGAGGGAGTGCTGGGAGCGAGTGCTGTGAGGGAGTGCTGTGAGGGAGTGCTGTGAGGGAGTGCTGTGAGGGAGTGCTGTGAGGGAGTGCTGTGAGGGAGTGCTGTGAGGGAGTGCTGTGAGGGAGTGCTGTGAGGGAGTGCTGTGAGGGAGTGCTGTGAGGGAGTGCTGGGAGCGAGTGCTGTGAGGGAGTGCTGTGAGGGAGTGCTGTGAGGGAGTGCTGTGAGCGAGTGCTGTGAGCTAGTGCTGTGAGGGAGTGCTGTGAGGGAGTGCTGGGAGCGAGTGCTGGGAGCGAGTGCTGTGAGGGAGTGCTGTGAGGGAGTGCTGTGAGGGAGTGCTGTGAGGGAGTGCTGTGAGGGAGTGCTGTGAGGGAGTGCTGTGAGGGAGTGCTGTGAGGGAGTGCTGTGAGGGAGTGCTGTGAGGGAGTGCTGGGAGCGAGTGCTGTGAGGGAGTGCTGTGAGGGAGTGCTGTGAGGGAGTGCTGTGAGGGAGTGCTGTGAGGGAGTGCTGTGAGGGAGTGCTGTGAGGGAGTGCTGTGAGGGAGTGCTGTGAGGGAGTGCTGTGAGGGAGTGCTGGGAGCGAGTGCTGTGAGGGAGTGCTGTGAGGGAGTGCTGTGAGGGAGTGCTGTGAGGGAGTGCTGTGAGGGAGTGCTGTGAGGGAGTGCTGGGAGCGAGTGCTGTGAGGGAGTGCTGTGAGGGAGTGCTGTGAGGGAGTGCTGTGAGGGAGTGCTGTGAGGGAATGCTGGGAGCGAGTGCTGTGAGGGAGTGCTGTGAGGGAGTGCTGTGAGGGAGTGCTGTGAGGGAGTGCTGGGAGCGAGTGCTGTGAGGGAGTGCTGTGAGGGAGTGCTGTGAGGGAGTGCTGTGAGGGAGTGCTGGGAGCGAGTGCTGTGAGGGAGTGCTGTGAGGGAGTGCTGTGAGGGAGTGCTGTGAGGGAGTGCTGTGAGGGAGTGCTGTGAGGGAGTGCTGTGAGGGAGTGCTGTGAGGGAGTGCTGTGAGGGAGTGCTGTGAGGGAGTGCTGGGAGCGAGTGCTGTGAGGGAGTGCTGTGAGGGAGTGCTGTGAGGGAGTGCTGTGAGGGAGTGCTGTGAGGGAGTGCTGTGAGGGAGTGCTGGGAGCGAGTGCTGTGAGGGAGTGCTGTGAGGGAGTGCTGTGAGGGAGTGCTGTGAGGGAGTGCTGTGAGGGAATGCTGGGAGCGAGTGCTGTGAGGGAGTGCTGTGAGGGAGTGCTGTGAGGGAGTGCTGTGAGGGAGTGCTGGGAGCGAGTGCTGTGAGGGAGTGCTGTGAGGGAGTGCTGTGAGGGAGTGCTGTGAGGGAGTGCTGGGAGCGAGTGCTGTGAGGGAGTGCTGTGAGGGAGTGCTGTGAGGGAGTGCTGTGAGGGAGTGCTGTGAGGGAGTGCTGTGAGGGAGTGCTGTGAGGGAGTGCTGTGAGGGAGTGCTGTGAGGGAGTGCTGTGAGGGAGTGCTGTGAGGGAGTGCTGTGAGGGAGTGCTGTGAGGGAGTGCTGTGAGGGAGTGCTGTGAGGGAGTGCTGTGAGCGAGTGCTGTGAGGGAGTGTTGGGAGCGAGTGCTGTGAGGGAGTGCTGTGAGGGAGTGCTGGGAGCGAGTGCTGTGAGGGAGTGCTGTGAGGGAGTGCTGTGAGGGAGTGCTGTGAGGGAGTGCTGTGAGGGAGTGCTGTGAGGGAGTGCTGTGAGGGAGTGCTGTGAGGGAGTGCTGTGAGGGAGTGCTGTGAGGGAGTGCTGTGAGGGAGTGCTGGGAGCGAGTGCTGTGAGGGAGTGCTGTGAGGGAGTGCTGTGAGGGAGTGCTGTGAGGGAGTGCTGGGAGCGAGTGCTGTGAGGGAGTGCTGTGAGGGAGTGCTGTGAGGGAGTGCTGTGAGGGAGTGCTGTGAGGGAGTGCTGTGAGGGAGTGCTGTGAGGGAGTGCTGTGAGGGAGTGCTGGGAGCGAGTGCTGTGAGGGAGTGCTGTGAGGGAGTGCTGTGAGGGAGTGCTGTGAGGGAGTGCTGTGAGGGAGTGCTGTGAGGGAGTGCTGTGAGGGAGTGCTGTGAGGGAGTGCTGTGAGGGAGTGCTGTGAGGGAGTGCTGGGAGCGAGTGCTGTGAGGGAGTGCTGTGAGGGAGTGCTGTGAGGGAGTGCTGTGAGGGAGTGCTGTGAGGGAGTGCTGTGAGGGAGTGCTGTGAGGGAGTGCTGTGAGGGAGTGCTGGGAGCGAGTGCTGTGAGGGAGTGCTGTGAGGGAGTGCTGTGAGGGAGTGCTGTGAGGGAGTGCTGTGAGGGAGTGCTGTGAGGGAGTGCTGTGAGGGAGTGCTGTGAGGGAGTGCTGTGAGGGAGTGCTGTGAGGGAGTGCTGTGAGGGAGTGCTGTGAGGGAGTGCTGTGAGGGAGTGCTGTGAGGGAGTGCTGTGAGGGAGTGCTGTGAGGGAGTGCTGTGAGGGAGTGCTGTGAGGGAGTGCTGTGAGGGAGTGCTGTGAGGGAGTGCTGGGAGCGAGTGCTGTGAGGGAGTGCTGTGAGGGAGTGCTGTGAGGGAGTGCTGTGAGGGAGTGCTGTGAGGGAGTGCTGGGAGCGAGTGCTGTGAGGGAGTGCTGTGAGGGAGTGCTGTGAGGGAGTGCTGTGAGGGAGTGCTGTGAGGGAGTGCTGTGAGGGAGTGCTGTGAGGGAGTGCTGTGAGGGAGTGCTGTGAGGGAGTGCTGTGAGGGAGTGCTGGGAGCGAGTGCTGTGAGGGAGTGCTGTGAGGGAGTGCTGTGAGGGAGTGCTGTGAGGGAGTGCTGGGAGGGAGTGCTGGGAGGGAGTGCTGGGAGGGAGTGCTGTGAGCGAGTGCTGTGAGCTAGTGCTGTGAGGGAGTGCTGTGAGGGAGTGCTGGGAGCGAGTGCTGTGAGGGAGTGCTGTGAGGGAGTGCTGTGAGGGAGTGCTGTGAGGGAGTGCTGTGAGGGGGTGCTGTGAGGGAGTGCTGGGAGCGAGTGCTGTGAGCTAGTGCTGTGAGGGAGTGCTGTGAGGGAGTGCTGGGAGCGAGTGCTGTGAGGGAGTGCTGTGAGGGAGTGCTGTGAGGGAGTGCTGTGAGGGAGTGCTGTGAGGGAGTGCTGTGAGGGAGTGCTGTGAGGGAGTGCTGTGAGGGAGTGCTGTGAGGGAGTGCTGTGAGGGAGTGCTGTGAGGGAGTGCTGGGAGCGAGTGCTGGGAGCGAGTGCTGTGAGGGAGTGCTGTGAGGGAGTGCTGTGAGGGAGTGCTGTGAGGGAGTGCTGTGAGGGAGTGCTGTGAGGGAGTGCTGCTGGCGAGCGCGCATGCATGCAGCTCCTAAATACAGCTAAGAAATCTCTCTTCTCTTCATATTTTCACGCACTTGTTTGCACTCGTTCTTTCACTTCTCGCCTTCGCCGTCATTGCCTGTCGTGATTGTGCCTGCTGCTTACTCCCTTGCGTGTGCTTGCGTGTTTGGTTGTAAGTGTGCCTGCTGCTTACTGCCTTGCGTGTGCTGGGAGCGAGTGCTGTGAGGGAGTGCTGTGAGGGAGTGCTGTGAGGGAGTGCTGTGAGGGAGTGCTGTGAGACGCGCGACGACGGGAGACACGCGACGGCCTCCAAAGGAGACGGGGGACGCGCGACGCTGTGAGACGCGCGACGACGGGAGACGCGCGACGGAAGCGTGCGACGACGGTGAAACGCGCGACGATGGCCTCCCCGCGCTGCTCCGTGAGGCGCTCATTCCTTTACCCCATCCTTGTATTCACCATGCCACTTGCACTTATTCTTTTACCCCATCCTCCTGCCTGTATAACCTTCCACTTTCCCCCCTCGCTACTGCACCTGCTGTCACCTGATTGCTGCGTTGCATCCTTTCGGCTTTCGTTTCTGCGGTGGGGAGTGAGTGCTTTGAAGTGAGTGCTGCGAAGTGAGTGCTTTGAAGTGAGTGCTGCGAAGTGAGTGCTTTGAAGTGAGTGCTGCGAAGTGAGTGCTTTGAAGTGAGTGCTGTGAAGTGAGTGCTTTCTGAGTGCTGTGATGTGAGTGCTGCGAAGTGAGTGCTGTGAAGTGAGTGCTTTCTGAGTGCTGCGAAGTGAGTGCTGCGAAGTGAGTGCTGCGAAGTGAGTGCTGCGAAGTGAGTGCTGCGAAGTGAGTGCTGCGAAGTGAGTGCTGTGAAGTGAGTGCTGGGGGGGAGAGCGTGAGTCCTGGGGGGGAGAGCGTGAGTGCTGGGGGGGAGAGCGTGAGTGCTGGCGAGTGCGTGCTTGGTTTGGGCATTGAGTTCTGCGAGCGATTGCTGAGTGCTGCGAGCGAGTGCTGCGAGCGAGTGCTGCGAGCGAGTGCTGCGAGCGAGTGCCGCGAGCGAGTGCTGCGAGCGAGTGCTGAGTGCTGCGAGCGAGTGCTGAGTGCTGCGAGCGAGTGCTGCGAGCGAGTGCTGCAAGCGAGTGCTGCGAGCGAGTGCTGAGTGCTGCGAGCGAGTGCTGAGTGCTGGGAGCGAGTGCTGAGTGCTGCGAGCGAATGCTGAGTGCTGCGAGCGAGTGCTGAGTGCTGCGAGCGAGTGCTGAGTGCTGCGAGCGAGTGCTGAGTGCTGCGAGCGAGTGCTGAGTGCTGCGAGCGAGTGCTGAGTGCTGCGAGCGAGTGCTGAGTGCTGCGAGCGAGTGCTGCGAGCGAGTGCTGAGTGCTGCGAGCGAGTGCTGAGTGCTGCGAGCGAGTGCTGCGAGCGAGTGCTGCGAGCGAGTGCTGAGTGCTGCGAGCGAGTGCTGAGTGCTGCGAGCGAGTGCTGAGTTCTGCGAGCGAGTGCTGAGTGCTGCGAGCGAGTGCTGCGAGCGAGTGCTGCGAGCGAGTGCTGCGAGCGAGTGTGTGTGCTTGTTGAATGCTTTGTGTGTGCTTGCTTTCTGGGTTGGGTGTGAAGGTAAAGGTAAAGCATGGGTGCAATTATGCAGCTCATTTCCTTAGGGGCAGCACTCTCGGGTGGTTTGTGGCTTGTTGTGCGGGGGTGGTGGGGGAACTAGCGCGGCGACGGCCCTGGGTGCTCAAGTAACGAACCTGGCGTTAAGGCACAATAGGCCCTGCTGGAGCCGAGCCGGCCGGCTCTGGTTCGGGCAAGCTCATGCTACGCCGGGGGGTGGATTTGAGTCTTGTGCCAGTTCGCGATTTTCCACTTCCTCTCTTTGCACCTTAAAAAGCAACCTCTTGAGATGCGCTGTTTCCGAAAGGGGGTGTCTGTGTGTTTGTCCTTTTGCTATGAAGGTGTTATGGGGTGGTATGTGTGTGTGCTGGGAACAGGTAAAGTATGGGAGGTAGTATGCAGCTCATTTCCTTAGGGGCAGCAGCCTTGGGTGGTTTGTGGCTTGTTGTGCGGGGGTGGCGGGGGAACTAGCGCGACGACGGCCCTCGGTGCTCAAGTAACGAAACTGGCGTTAAGGCACAATAGGCCCTGCTGGAGCCGAGCCGGCCGGCTCTGGTTCCGGCAAGCTCATGCTACGCCAGGGGGTGGATTTGAGTCTTGTGCCAGTTCGCGCTTTTCTGCTTCCACTCTTTGCACCTCAAAAAGCAACCACTCTAGACGTGCTGTTTCCGAAAGGGAGTGTTCTGGATGCTCCTCCTTGTGCTGGCAAGGTGGGACCCTCATGGCTGTTGGTGACAATGGCCATTGCTGTGGTCCAGGTATGTGGTGGACATTGTGCATTGAGCATTCACATCATACATTCAGCATTATCATCAAACATTTTTTCCCGAACGTCGAACCTCCACCTCAGCGTGGTGTTCGGGTGAACATCAGGGCAACAGTCCTGATGGCCAAGAGAGGTTTCATTGATTTGAGGTTGTTGTACCTGATGGGACAGATGACTGATGGCCTTTGGTGTGGTTCTGGTCTGGTGTGGTTCTGGTCTGGTGTGGTTCTGGTCTGGTGTGGTTCTGGTCTGGTGTGGTTCTGGTCTGGTGTGGTTCTGGTCTGGTGTGGTTCTGGTCTGGTGTGGTTCTGGTCTGGTGTGGTTCTGGTCTGGTGTGGTTCTGGTCTGGTGTGGTTCTGGTCTGGTGTGGTTCTGGTCTGGTGTGGTTCTGGTCTGGTGTGGTTCTGGTCTGGTGTGGTTCTGGTCTGGTGTGGTTCTGGTCTGGTGTGGTTCTGGTCTGGTGTGGTTCTGGTCTGGTGTGGTTCTGGTCTGGTGTGGTTCTGGTCTGGTGTGGTTCTGGTCTGGTGTGGTTCTGGTCTGGTGTGGTTCTGGTCTGGTGTGGTTCTGGTCTGGTGTGGTTCTGGTCTGGTGTGGTTCTGGTCTGGTGTGGTTCTGGTCTGGTGTGGTTCTGGTCTGGTGTGGTTCTGGTCTGGTGTGGTTCTGGTCTGGTGTGGTTCTGGTCTGGTGTGGTTCTGGTCTGGTGTGGTTCTGGTCTGGTGTGGTTCTGGTCTGGTGTGGTTCTGGTCTGGTGTGGTTCTGGTCTGGTGTGGTTCTGGTCTGGTGTGGTTCTGGTCTGGTGTGGTTCTGGTCTGGTGTGGTTCTGGTCTGGTGTGGTTCTGGTCTGGTGTGGTTCTGGTCTGGTGTGGTTCTGGTCTGGTGTGGTTCTGGTCTGGTGTGGTTCTGGTCTGGTGTGGTTCTGGTCTGGTGTGGTTCTGGTCTGGTGTGGTTCTGGTCTGGTGTGGTTCTGGTCTGGTGTGGTTCTGGTCTGGTGTGGTTCTGGTCTGGTGTGGTTCTGGTCTGGTGTGGTTCTGGTCTGGTGTGGTTCTGGTCTGGTGTGGTTCCTGTCTGGTGTGGTTCTGGTCTGGTGTGGTTCCTGTCTGGTGTGGTTCCTGTCTGGTGTGGTTCCTGTCTGGTGTGGTTCTGGTCTGGTGTGGTTCTGGTCTGGTGTGGTTCTGGTCTGGTGTGGTTCTGGTCTGGTGTGGTTCTGGTCTGGTGTGGTTCTGGTCTGGTGTGGTTCTGGTCTGGTGTGGTTCTGGTCTGGTGTGGTTCTGGTCTGGTGTGGTTCTGGTCTGGTGTGGTTCTGGTCTGGTGTGGTTCTGGTCTGGTGTGGTTCTGGTCTGGTGTGGTTCTGGTCTGGTGTGGTTCTGGTCTGGTGTGGTTCTGGTCTGGTGTGGTTCTGGTCTGGTGTGGTTCTGGTCTGGTGTGGTTCTGGTCTGGTGTGGTTCTGGTCTGGTGTGGTTCTGGTCTGGTGTGGTTCTGGTCTGGTGTGGTTCTGGTCTGGTGTGGTTCTGGTCTGGTGTGGTTCTGGTCTGGTGTGGTTCTGGTCTGGTGTGGTTCTGGTCTGGTGTGGTTCTGGTCTGGTGTGGTTCTGGTCTGGTGTGGTTCTGGTCTGGTGTGGTTCTGGTCTGGTGTGGTTCTGGTCTGGTGTGGTTCTGGTCTGGTGTGGTTCTGGTCTGGTGTGGTTCTGGTCTGGTGTGGTTCTGGTCTGGTGTGGTTCTGGTCTGGTGTGGTTCTGGTCTGGTGTGGTTCTGGTCTGGTGTGGTTCTGGTCTGGTGTGGTTCTGGTCTGGTGTGGTTCTGGTCTGGTGTGGTTCTGGTCTGGTGTGGTTCTGGTCTGGTGTGGTTCTGGTCTGGTGTGGTTCTGGTCTGGTGTGGTTCTGGTCTGGTGTGGTTCTGGTCTGGTGTGGTTCTGGTCTGGTGTGGTTCTGGTCTGGTGTGGTTCTGGTCTGGTGTGGTTCTGGTCTGGTGTGGTTCTGGTCTGGTGTGGTTCTGGTCTGGTGTGGTTCTGGTCTGGTGTGGTTCTGGTCTGGTGTGGTTCTGGTCTGGTGTGGTTCTGGTCTGGTGTGGTTCTGGTCTGGTGTGGTTCTGGTCTGGTGTGGTTCTGGTCTGGTGTGGTTCTGGTCTGGTGTGGTTCTGGTCTGGTGTGGTTCTGGTCTGGTGTGGTTCTGGTCTGGTGTGGTTCTGGTCTGGTGTGGTTCTGGTCTGGTGTGGTTCTGGTCTGGTGTGGTTCTGGTCTGGTGTGGTTCTGGTCTGGTGTGGTTCTGGTCTGGTGTGGTTCTGGTCTGGTGTGGTTCTGGTCTGGTGTGGTTCTGGTCTGGTGTGGTTCTGGTCTGGTGTGGTTCTGGTCTGGTGTGGTTCTGGTCTGGTGTGGTTCTGGTCTGGTGTGGTTCTGGTCTGGTGTGGTTCTGGTCTGGTGTGGTTCTGGTCTGGTGTGGTTCTGGTCTGGTGTGGTTCTGGTCTGGTGTGGTTCTGGTCTGGTGTGGTTCTGGTCTGGTGTGGTTCTGGTCTGGTGTGTCTTGGGCGTTGTGCATTGTGAGTGTGCCTGATGATTGCGTGGAGGGGGTGATTGGGGTGGGTATCCTAGGTTGGGATACTTGGGGGGTAGGTTCTGACTGGGGAGGGTAGGTGGGGTTGCTTGGGGGGGTAGGTTCTGATTGGGGTTGGTAGGTGAGGTTGCTTGTAAGGGGTTGGTTCTGACTGGGGTGGGTAGCGTGGACTTGGGGATTGAACATTGGCATTGGCATTGACAATAAACATTTTTGCCCTGGTGTTCGGGTGAACATCAGGGCAGCAGTCCTGATGGCCAATAGAAGTTTCACTGATATTAGATTGTTGTACCTGATTGACTGACTCTCTCTGAGCTATCTTGCTCGTGAAAGCAGTGGTTTCACTTGTCCTTGGTTTTTCTGTTCTCCCGCTGCCTGACCTCTATTTTGCTCGCGTCGTGAAGCAATAGTTCCACTGGATATGGTATGGACATTCTGTCACGTCATTGGTGTCATCAACGGACATCGTACTTTGGGCAGTTGCAGTGTGCAATGTTCACCGCTGAAAACACTTTGGCGGTTTAGGATTTGAAAGGTGTTATCGAAACGCAATAACTGGCACAATATATACAGGATGTAACCCACAACCTGCCATCCAGCACACTACCAGAGCCTAGACATCGGGGACAGCAGTTCCTCAAAGCATGGCTGGCCCTGGGAAACATCAATGGTGGGAGTATTCGCCACACTCTCTAATGGTTCACATGGCGCCACACTCACTGCAGGAGGCAGCAGGCAGTTGCTGCCAGGTAGTGCGAATTCCCCTCCCCTGCACATGGGGGAGGGGTACACTGTCGGCACCACGCCTGCAAGCTCGCATACAGGCTCACAAGCAGCAGCGGCAGAAGCAGCAGCAGCAGCAGCAGCAGAAGAATGCAGCTTTGGGCCGGGCAGAGAGTCAGGCAAAGAGCGAGGTACAGCATCAGGGAATCGACTGGTGAGTTGCTGGTAGTCACAGCAAGCCAGCAGCGCACTGGCCTCCTCGAATGCAGCAGCATGGGAGGCGTGAGGGATCACAGGGCCATGAGGGGTCTCCACTCGGGCACGACGGTCGTCAGGGGCCTCAGGATGATGTGCGGCGTGAGGGCGATGAGTAGGAGGGGGGTCCGCTGGGCCGAGCAGGGCTTCTGAGAGCTGCAGCATACGCTCTATGGCTGCTGCGTCCAGCACACCACCATGCTGCACACCATGCTCCACACCATGCTCCACACCATGCTCCACACCATGCTCCATGCCTGCTACCCCACCCTGCACTGCATCCACACCATCCGCGCCCCTGCCACTCCACACCCCGGTTCCAGCACTCCCACCTGCCCCAGCAGTCCCAGCAAATACAACGCCACCACTGCCGCCCATCTGCTCACGCACCAGCTGCGCCCTGCTCTCCCTCAGCGCCTGCACCATCGCTCCCTGCTGCTCCATCGCTCTCTCCAGCACACCGTGCTCCATCGCACTCTCCAGCACACCATGCTCCATGCCTGCTCCTCCTGCATGCACTGCATCTGCCCCATCCGTGTCCCTGCCACTCCACAACCCGGCACCAGCATTCTCAGCTAGCCCAGCAGTCCCAGCAGAACAAGTGTTCCCAGCAGTCACAGCGCTACCACTGCCGCCCATCTGTTCCCGCACCAGCTGCGCCCTGCTCTCCCTCAGCGCCTGCACAATCGCCTCCTCCTGCGCCATCGCCACCTGCTGCTCCACTGTTCTCTCCTGCACCCACGGGACTGCCGTGCCACACCCCCACGGCACTGTCATGCCAGGTGCTTGCATGCCGCCCACCGACATGACAGGGGGGCTTGCAAAAATGCTGCCGTAGGGAACAAGTCCCCCATGCACTTCCACCGCCTGTTGCTGAGTCACTTTTGGGGTCGACTCAGAAAAGTCTGGTATGCTAGGCGCATCCGTGCCTACCACGGACATGACAGGGCGGCTTGAAAAAATGCTGCTGTACTGAACAAGCCCCCCATGCACCGCGAGCGCCGGTTGCTGACTCAGCTGGGCAGCCAAGACAGCGGGGCACGCGGGAAAACGCATGCTCGCCCCTTCGTTTCCCGCTACAGCAAAAACACCCTGATTCGAGTCATTGTGCTGGTTGTTCTGAGTCCAATTCACAACGCTGCGACCAGCAACGCCATCGCCATGGCTCCACTCAGAGCACACTACGGACTCTTCAGCCAGATGCATTCCGTGCGTTACTTCCCTGCTGCTAACAGCTTTCCTGCTCTCAGTTGATAGGTCAACGCGCCCTGCGCTGCTGGTTGCGGGCGCGGAGAACGACTCAACCGGCCCCTGCCACATGCCCCCCTTCTCCGCCGGAGGGGCGCGCGCGCTGAGCGCGGATACGGAGGTGGACACCGCGGCGGGGGCGGAGAGCGGCGGACACGAGCGGTTGAAGATTTCTTCGAAGGTCATGCTGGGCAGGACACCGCTGTAGTCGCATCTCGCCGCCGCAGCGGGAGTTCCGGTGTTGAACGACGCGGGTACGGATCCCGCCGCCTTGTCGGCACCAACTGTGCTGTCTGCTGGGTCGGAGTCGCGCCGCGTTAGCAACGGCGCGCCGCCGGTTAGTGTCGCGAACCTCGCCAGTGACGAAAGAGCCGCGTCGCCGCTCGACGCGCTGCGCGGTACAGGCGCAGGCGTTTCGACGGAGGGGCTCGTTCTGGCGCCGCCAGCGATCACGCCTGCAAAGGCGCCGCCTTCGCTGTCGCTCGCGGCACTCCCGCCGCTGCCGCTTCCGCTGCTGATCAAGCCGCTGCGGGCGTCGGCGGCGCGCAAGCTTGCGCCGTGAGGGGGGCTGCTGATGGGTGCTGAAACTGCCGCCTCGTCGAAGAAGTTGAGCTGCGCGCGCGGCCCGTACAATTTCCGCGCTGCGCGGTCGTACGTCAGCGCAGCAGTCCGCGCGTCCGCGAACGACCCCAGCCAGATGCGCTTCTTGCTGCGCGGCGCGCGGATCTCCGCCACCCATTTCCCCCAACTGCGCTGCCGCACCCCGCGGAAGCCGTGCAGCGCGTTCTCCGGCCCGCCTTTGGCGCCTTTCCCCACCCTGTCGGCGCGCCTGGGAGCGATCCAAGACGGACCGGCAGCAGCACCACTACTGGAAGAAATGGCATTAAAGAATGCATCGGAACTCGCGTTCAATCCGCCGGCGAACGCGGGAGTGACTGGAGACGTCAGACCCGTTCGCGGTTGCGGGGGGTCTCCGTAGGGACAAGGTCTGGGACTCATCTGATTGGATATTACTAGGACGAGCGAGATGGGCGTAGGAATGAAGAAGGACTTCGAACAACCACGGCCAAGGCGTTGCTTTGGAATCACACGACTCTGAAAGACAGGAAAAGCTAATTTCGCGGCGACAAAAGGAGATAGCGGAAGTGCGGAACGGAGGTGCGGTCGTAAGTGTCATATACAAAAGCAGTTCTGGCAAACTTGAACAGTCATGCTGCTGTCGAAATTGCGAAGGGAATGGAGTTGTCAATCGAACCATGGCGGACCGCGGAATCATGTCTGCTCTTATGTTGTAAGCTCCCATGTGGGCCCGTACTAAATGTGGCTGGGTCGGATTTCCGTGCCTCGCTCTGATTTTCCCTTCGGTGAGTCGATCCCGCGACGATCGACCTTCAGGCGGCTGGAGCATATCGCCGAGGGCAGTGCAAAGCGTTGAGGGAGCAGTCCGTGCGGTGATGGATAGATATCACGGCAATCCCCACTCTCAGCAGGTGCTGGGCAAAAATGAATCAAGCGGCAGTGCTGCTGAACTATCTTGCGATTCGAATCTCGTGGCTCTGCGGATTTGTTTCTGATTTTTAAACCTCGAGATTTCAGCACTCCCACCTCCCCTCACCACACATTGGGGAGGAAACGACGAGCTTTGCAGTGGCATCTGCTGCCCAAGCTGAGTCTTGCAGTGGCCAAGAGGCGGCGTGGGAGGGGGGGCGGGAGGCAAGGTGGTGGGGCTGGGGGGGATGGGCGGAACGGGGGGAAAGAAGGAAATGGATTGGGAGCGAAGTAGGGGAGGCACGGAAAGGGCGTGCGGGAACTCGAAAAATGCCGCGCGCGCGAGCACGATTCTCGATTTGATTGATGAGCTGAGGTGAGTCAGCACTTTCAAGAATCGGGGGAGGATCCAAATTGGCGTCCCGGCCCGGCCTTGCCCAGGAAAACATCAATGGTCTGGTCTGGTCAGGTTCTGGGGGGCAAAGCGAGATTTGGCAGCAAATAGCGATGCATAAGTCCGTGCTCTTTCCGGATCGGTTTAGTTCGGTTCTATTATAGAGCTCTGCTCTAAGATATTACCGATAGAATCTCTAGCTCCGAAAGCTCGTGACGAATCTCAAGCAGAAGCAGCACGTGACGTGGCAAGGATCGATCAGGAGGTTCGAGCCTCGAGAAGGGCTCGTTATGAATCTCCCATCACGTGAACTGCCTGACGTCAGTATCAGTCTACTTGTAGATCGGGTCGGGTGTGGTTCTGGCTCGATACATTTCGTTCTATACTGTATTGGAAAATCAGCTCCCGCAAGCTCCAACTGGTTCATTCAAATACATGTTTGTAGTGTACCTTCGAGAGATTCTATTGGTCATCCAACAATATGCCCTCTCAAGAAAACGAGAATCCGTAAGTTATATTCCAAATCGGTAACCCATTACATCATTACTTGCATAAATGGTGTGAACTGATTAGACAGGAGTTGTCTATGTAGGAGAAAGAAAACGGAGAAAGAAAGGGAGAAGGGAAGTAAGAAAACCCAAATCTGTAAGTTGGTGCTTTGAGATAGGAAACACCAATCCACAATTTCAATGTACTTCACAAAAACCAAATATGCACCTATATAGTATTCCCTTATTTCTCCCTCAAAGTAACCTCCAGAAGTTGAGCAATGTGAATCTAGCTATCCATATGTACCGTGTGTTAAACGAAGTTTCAAAGCCATTGGAAGTGTGAGTGGACATTCAGTGCAGCGGATTTCAATTTCACTATCCTTTACAGGGAGCTACGTTGGATGGCATTGCTACTTTGTGCCAATACAACCTGGGTGGGCATTACGTGTGAATGGATGGGAAGGCGTGACGAAGAGAAATGCAGGCGTTCATGGTGTAAAAGCCGTGTGTGTTTACTGGAAGCGTGCCGGCCACTAGCCAACATGCAGAGTCCATCTAAAGCATGAAGTACTGCTCAGATGTTTCTTGTGTTCAGTCAGCCATGGCGAAGTAAAAGCAAGTATAGCAACACTCCATAGTTAAAAGAGTCAGAACGGAGACCACATCCCATATTTTATTACCAAATGAGGTCCTAGGACAATCTATTGAGCTTGGCTATGGACTGCTCTGTTTGACGCATCAGTTAGCAATCCCTTTTATTTCCTTCCCCACGCCTTACTGAATCACCTCCCAGCCATACGAAGCCTTCACATAATTCCTCCTGAACTTCTTGAAATTCTGAACCTGCCTGGGCGGCAGGTTGTACAGCCACGGCGCCTTCTGCTTGTTGGTCTCATCCGCGCACGCAGGGCGCTTGCCGGTGGGCGGAACGGCGCAGGCCATGCTCAAGTCGAAGTTTTTGAACTGGGCCGTCACCTTGCCCTTGTTCCAGTCGGGCTTCAACGGGCTCCAACTCGACGCGTCCCAGATGGATGCCTGCTTGGGCGGGCGAGTTCACAAAGCAGCGTAGAAAAAGCTGTTTAGACCCAGGTTCACCATGTGGAGGCGGAGAGAAAGGAGAGAAAGTGGTACGGGGAGAGTGCTATTCTGCAAGTAACAGCCTTTTTTGCAAGCGGTTTGAGATTGAGCGATTGCTGGAGGGGGGAGCTCACCTTGACTTGAACGGGCGAGGAGGGGAAGGGTCTGCCGGGGGTCTTGAGGGTGACGCGGATGGGCGTGTTGTCGATTCTCCACACGATGAAGCGCGGCGAGTATATGATGGTGTACGTGTGGAAGTCCGCCGACGGGTCGAACGGGAAGCGGAACTGCGTTGCGTGCGCGCGGGGAGGGGGAAACCAGGGCAGGGGGACAGGGGGGAAGAATCCAAGAGCACGGCAGGTGAGGGGGAGGAGTTCCTTGGGAACGACGAAGAGCGAGATCAAGGACCGTAGCTAGGGAGACAAAACGAAGCGTTCAGTTCCATCTGCTCGTGGGTTTCCAGTCGGTTTGTTTCGAGGCAGACTCGTCTGGTCTTGCGGCAACGGCAACGGAAACGCACCTGTTCTAGGTTGGTCTGGCCGCCCGTGATGAGGTTGGTGTGGATGATCATGTCGCGCGGGTTCTCCGCGCCCAGGATCTCGAAGTCGATCTCGTCGTGAATGTCCTTGTAACCCGGGTTACCACCCGAGATGAGGTAGAAGCACGGAATGATGCCGCCGGAGTAGCCGGCCGGCATCTTCATCTTCACGCTGAATATGCCGTACTGGTACATTCCGTACGAGGCAAAGGCTGGCGCGCAAAGACATTAACAACAATGGCATGCAAAAATCAGTAAAATTCTGATGCAAGTGCGACGAGAAATAACGGATATGACGATCATAATCGAAGTCGGCCTGGGAACGGAGGGATCTACTACTGAGCGCGTATTTCACACGCACACGATGGTGAGATAAAAAGCACCAAACTTACCTCCGACTTTGTTCCAGTGGGCGGAAATCGCGACGGTTCCATCGCCCGCGCGCTCGCAGTAGTACTGCCCTTTGCAGTACGGCGCGAACTGAAAGTATCGGTCGAACGACGTGTCGTATGCCAGCACTGATGCTGGAAATCCCACAATTGCGACGAGCAAGACAACCGCCAGAGGCCACCTGATGCGTAGCAGCGGAGCCGCCATTATTTCGATATCTGTAAACGAGATGAGGGGCGCAACAAGAACGCTACTGCCAAGGCTCGCCTTACTAGCTTGAGCCCTCTGTAGACTAGGCGCATGAAAGCACGCTGCTGTGGACATCCACAGACGAATTTATGTGATGGCCTGCTCAAATGCGAATTGCAAGCCATAGAAGTATGCAGGACCAGGGGCTGAATGTGGTGCACATTCCACAACCATACATGCAGGAGTATGCTTTGCGACGAGCGTCGCCAAAAGCATCGCAATTGGCACGTCCACAAAAGTCAAGCGACGCGGCCGACGAATGGAGTCACGTGCAAATCGAATTGCTGGCGACTCATGCGCATCGTGCAACCAGCAGCATTCTGTGTGCGAAATTGTTGCACGAGCTCGGAGAAAAGCTGTTTCGCTGCCCTCATGCACGCGAAATTCTGTACACATCGGGTTTCGTGAGCATTGTGTGAGACATGTTTGGCGGGATTGGGCTGCCGCTTCGAGTTTGTCTTGCTGATGTGGCATTTCATAAGTTGGTGTACACCCTAGTCATTTGTTGACCGACAGTATACTTTGCTTTTGCTTTTACAAACACATACATCATCAGGTAGGTGTATTTCAGTCTTATCAACACATAAAGTAACCGTCTTAACTTAATATTGTTAAACAGTTTTATCGAAGTGATATCTTCAAAAGAATGTTCTCATACAAGATAAGGGGAGCAATGCAATGCATTTTTACACTAAGGGCGCATAAGTATGTAACAGATAAGCCTGATGCTGTGTTACACTTTGTGTTCCTTCAGTGACGCAGCGCTCTCTGACACACGACCCAACCTTCTGACTTCGGGTGGCGGGAGGACGTCACCGAGGAAAAGACCACACCAATCACGAGTCGCCTGAACTGAAAGTAAGACTTTTTTCTCGTTATTGGCACCTGACCTCGATCATGACGAGCCACAGCGTAAAAATTCTTGACACCAGCATGGTTTGCCTTGCACCACCTGTCAGCCAGGCTCCCAGCACAGGCAAACAACTAAAAAGAATTCAAGCAGGAGGTTTGCAGTCAGTGTCACATCACCTCTTAGGCCTAGAGAGTATCCTGCTGTTGGTCAGAGTAGCTGATTGTTAATCTCTTTAGCTAAATCCTATTTCAAAGCAGCTACTATCTGTGTTCGAGTATCTTAGTTTTGGTCGTCGTGATCGCTGCTTACCTATCGAGGTGTGCTTTTGCGTAGAACCGCCGTCTTTAGACGAACCATGGCTTCAGAAGAAGAGAAGGTATTAGCGGAGGCGAAGAAGCTCCCTTTAGAAGATAGGATAGCTCATAAGAACTGGAAGGTTAGGAACGAGGTGTATTTGGATATCGCAGATGCGTGCAACAAAATCAAGGATCCAAAAGACCCCAAACTTAAAGAATACGGTTCGTATTAGCATCCGTTGACGTATTGATTTCGACTGAAAAGCTGCCGAACGAGGTCTTATTCATTGTCCGTCACGTTTCAGGTCATTTGTTGAAGAAAGCAGTGTCTGACGCGAACGCGCCTGCACAAGAGAAGGCTTTAGATGCATTGATAGCCTTTCAGCTGGCAGCAGATGCTGATGTTGCGAGGTGAGAATTCACGACAATGCTTGTAGTGAAGCCGCGAAACAAGTCTCGCCTGACGCACTCCTTTTTTCATGGATTAGGTTCGCCAAGGAAATCTGCGATGCTACGGCTACGAAGTGCCTCACGGGTCGACCTAAGACAGTCGAGAGGGCTCAGACGTCGTTTCTTCTCTGGGTCGAGCTCGAGGCCGTTGAGGTTTTCCTGGTGAGCAGAAATGCACTTGTTGCAGTCGATTCACGATCAGCTTCACCATGCAACTCAAACTAATCAGGACCATGCGACCGCGTGCAGGACTGCATGGAGAAAGCGGTGAAGCACAAAGTGGCGAAGGCCGTAGTGCCAGCCATCGACGCCATGTACCAAGCGCTCAGGTGAAGTCAGCATTCTTGCCGGTTGTGACACCAGTAACCGCTTCGCTCACGTCGGAATTGTTGTCCTTGACGACGCGTTTTAACATCAAGTGTCGTCTGACGTGGTTTTTTATTCAATGATGTACAGCCAATTCGGAACAGGCGTGGTTCCTCCGAAACGCATCTTCAAGATGCTTCCCGGTCTTTTCAACCACGCTGACCAAGGGGTGCGGCAGTGCACCAAGGGGCTCACTGTTGAGCTGTGTCGCTGGCTGGGAAAGGACACCGTCAAGCGCTTGCTGTTCGAAGGGCTCCGTGATGCCACGGTGCGTGAGCGCTCGCTGGATGCATCAGGGCTTGCGATTGTTTCGGTTCTTTATGAATGGCTCATCGTGACCATGCTTGCCCTGCTTGCTTCTCGCAGAAAGCGGAGCTCGAGGCGGAATTCGAGCGTGTCGAAGGTCGTGCAGTTCCGACGAGGAGGATCCGTTCTGAGCAGATGAAGGAGATTGAGGAGCCAGAGGCGCTGGATGCCCCAGCAGACGACTCCAAGGCCGCAGAGGCTGAGGGTATGAGGTTTCCGCCTTTATTAACAGTTAACTGGAACATAATCGCCTGCTTCCAGAGTGTTTCCACAGCTTTGTGCTGACTGTCTCAATGCCTCCTCATTTATGTATGAATGCCTCCTCCTTTATGTGGCTGCTGCAGCTCCTCCTGTGATTGACGACTACGACCTAGCGGACCCTGTGGACATCTTGACGCCGCTATCCAAGACGACCTTCTACGACGGCATTGTGAGTCACCCTTTTCTTTTTAGCTGAATTTGTGACTTACCATTGGCTGGGGTATGCTTGGATGAGACTACTTAGTGCTCATCTCTAATTTGCGTTGCTTGCTCATTTTTTCCCTATGTGCGTTTCTCAGAAAGCTACCAAGTGGTCAGAGAGGCGCGATGCCATTGCAGAGCTGGCCAAACTGGCGAGCACCATACGCATTGCACCGGGAGACTTTCTGGATATTCAACGAAGCTTGAAGAAGGTATTGTTGTGCTGACTTCTACCACATGATTCCTGCCAGTAGAGACTTCTTCCTGCCACTACTTTGCTGACATGTATGACTCTCCTGTTGTGTACGTCCTGTTGTTCCCGTTGTGCAGCTGACAACGGATGTGAACATTGCAGTGGCCACGGAGGCCATTCAGGCAGCCGGCAACCTGGCCAAGGGCCTACGGAAGGACTTCTCATCTGGAGCACGACTCATGCTGCCAGCCCTATTGGTAATTGGTGCTCTCACAATCCTTTCGGATGGTCAGGGACGTTTCTCTCCGCATTTTTTGGAATTCAGCCTTGTTTGGCTTGTCTCACGCCTGTGCACCGTTTGTGTCTTGTTCAGGAGAGGTACAAGGAGAAGAAGCCGACTGTGGTGCAGGCCATTCGAGACACGCTCAAGGCGTTCTACGTCTCAGGGTGCTTGACACTGCCGGATGCACTCGAGGGTAAGCTAAGGTTCTTCCACTCTTTCTGATTTTCCAGCCCATACGGCATCAGGTGCTGGCGACTCACCACACGTAGTGCTCTTTCCATACATATGCCCCTATTGACCTCCGTATCCATGTCGGCACCTGCAACTATATTGGTAAAAAATCTTTCTTTGTCACACAATCCTGTCTATATCCCCTCGAATCCATGTGTTCCTCCGATCAGACATCACCACGGCCGTGAAGCACAAGGTGCCGCAGGTCCGTTCGGAGGTGCTGGGGTGGGTGGCTGTGTGCATCGAGGCCAGCAAGCGGCCGCAAGTCATGGCGGTGCACAAGGAGCTCATCCCCATGCTTGTTGAGGTAGGTTAGGCACGCCTAACACTGTACTGCGCCCAGTGCAACCTTCTATGGACCATTTCTGACTCAGTTGTGTTGTACGTGCACTTACCGACCAATCCTTCCCCTCTGACCTGGTTGAAACGTGCAGAGCCTGCAAGATGGGACCGTGGATGTTCGAGAGGCGGGCTTCAACGCCCTTGCGAACGTTGCCAAGGTACTGTGCTCTTGCCAGCTCTGTCTCCGTCTTGTTGTATTGCAGTGTGTTCTGCCGTATTGGCCTGGCGGCTTGCTGGCATTCCCCCTGGCAAAGGCATGGCTCGATAAAATTTTCCCTCCTTTTGCTGCCTGCGGCTGCAGTGTGTGGGCATGAAGCCGTTGGAGAGGCATTTGGAGTCGGTTGATGAGGTGCGCAAGAAGAAGCTCATTGACGTCATTGCCAGTGCTGGCGTCACTGTCGACGCCGCACCCCAAGGTCAGCACCCCCCCATTCCCTACCTCCTTGGCCCCACACTCCCCGCCATCTGCTCGCGTGTGCACACACCACATATACCGACAAGTCTTCCCCCGCTTTTCCCCCGTTTACCGCCCCTGTTTCAACGCACATACTGGCGCTCACATGCACGCTTCGATGCGCTTTCTCTTTCCATCCGGCTGCCATCCCTGTCACACTTCTTCCAGTCATTCCCCCTCCTCTGTGCCCATGCGTGTGCATCCCACTGGCCTGTGTCTTCCCCATCCACGTCCATCCACGTAAATGCGTGCAGCCACGGCCAGCAGGACCTCTGGGGGCAGCCAGGCGGCGTCCAGAGCACCTCCTCCCGCCAAGGCGTCTGCAGCCAGCCTGCTCAGTGGCAAAGCCGGAGCTCGCCCGGTATGGAAGCCCCCGCTCCCCTCACAGCTTCCGAGAGAGAAAGTTCACGCTTATCTATGCCTCGCTGCACCGTATGCATGCTGCTGCCCTTCGTTATCCAGTGCCATCCGCGAAGTTTCATGCTTAGATGTCCTCTGGATGGCGCGTCCTCTTGGTGGCGCCTTGTTGTGCTGCTCCTAACCCCTTTGTGCCTCGCTATGCTGCTCGAACGTGCGGTGCTCTCTCTTCCATTTTGCAGTCCGCCACGGGCGCCAAGGTGGAGACAGGCAGCTCGGCTGCTGGAGGCAAGAAGGCTGGCAACGATGCTAAGAAGCCCGCCCAGGCAGCTGCCCCACCAGAGGAGATTGAGGTGCGTTTTCCAGCATGCTGATTGCACACCTGTGTACCCTCATGTCATCACACAGACACGTACATGTCTTGCAACTCGTTCCCGCTGTTGCCCTATGCAATCAGCTAGCCACTCCTCTCTGAAGCTCATCTCTCCCTGCCTCTCCCCATGGGTGCAGCCGGAGCCTTGGAGCCCAGAGACAGTGGAGGAGCGAGCCAAGGCAGTGCTGCCGCCAGAGATGGTGGACAACCTCAAGAGCTCCGCCTGGAAGGAGAGGCTCGAGGGTGAGCTGCAACCCCCCTGCTAACATCCACAGCCGCACACAACACAACCTTTTCAACTGCTAGCCTCCATGTTGCCGTTTCCACTTTCCGGTTATGGCTGTTGCAATGCTCATTGGGTCATGCCGCTAGTTTTTTTATCATGAGTCAGCTGTATCTGTGTACCAACCTATGTGTGGGGCACGTGTGGGTGTGCAGCGATGACGGGCATCAAGGAGATGGTGCCCAGCATGGCAGACGCACAGGCCAACGTTGAGACCATAGTGCGCCTCATCTCCACCACCCCTGGCTGGTCCGACAAGAACGTACAGGTACCTATCCCCCACCGATGAGTTAAACACCAGCTTCGTGCCATCTGGCGCCTGGTACGCTCATCAGCTTGCACCCAAGTTGCTGACTCTAGGGATGTGCTCTGTGTATGGTGGCAATGCCAACAGGTGCTGCAGAAGATGCTGGAGTGTGTGTCAGCCCTGGCTGACAAGGTCGACAGGTTCCCCAAGAAATGCGTCGTGCTCTGCATTGAAGGTACGACCATCACTTGGAAGGAACTTTTCCCGCACCGCCAGGCTGCCATGTCTGCAGCTGCTAGGCTCTAGTGATGTTTTTCAGCTGCATACGCCCCATGCTGCGTTTCCCTGGCACCTGGGTCAAAGGCTTAAGGCAGGCAGGTTCGTGTTGTGCCTTAATCTGTCGCATGATTGTTTCGCGCATGTACCTGTGTCAACGTTGCACCAGGTCTTATCGAGAGGGTCGGGGACATCAAGACGCGCATCCAGGCCACAGCGTGTCTCACCACGCTCGCAGAATGCGTCGGCCCACAGTTCATCTTCACCAGAGTGAGGACGCTTTCCCCATACGAACCCTCACTCGTTTACAAGTCTTATGCACAGCACATCATTGACCTCACTGTAATCACGCACGAGGTTAACACATCAAGTGTTCTTTCATCCCCCTGCAGAGCATCCCCATAGTGAGCGCGCACAAAAACCCCAAGGTGCTGGCAGAGAGCATCACATGGATGGTCACCGCCGTCGACGACTTCGGCACCGCCCAGCTGAACCTCAAGGTGGGTTTGCAGCAGTGTTGCCTGCCTCTTTCTCGTGCTGATTCATGTCTTGCAAGCGTGTTGGCTGTGATCTGATTCCGTTTTCCTGTGGCTCTCACTTGGGCCAGGAGCTGCTGGAGTTTGTGAAGAACGTGGGGCTGGGCTCCAGCAATGCGCCGTGCCGAAGTGCCGCCACCAAGCTGCTGGGCGCCATGCACAAATACGTGGGGCCAGGTGAGCTGCTCCCCTCACTCAACTCGCTGCAGGGAGTAGCGGATCGTTTTACCAGTCTTCATCCTTGATCCGTACAGCATTTGCCTGCTCCCACTCACATACCTTTGCTGCATACTGCTAACCTGCCTCCGCTCAATGGGTGTTTCTGTGCGCCTTGCCTGCTGGTCCCCTGCAGATCTGAAGGGCTTCCTGTCGGATCTCAAGCCCGCCCTCATGACCTCAGTGGAAACAGAGTTTGAGAAGAACCCCCACGAGGTACACCCTCCGCCCTTAGCACTGCCTTCTGTTGCTCCCAGGTCATCTCTTACCTGTTCTTCCAACCACCACCTTATACAGCAGCTGGCCCTGTTTCATCCCGTCTTCCCTTCCTCACCTTCCCGCCCCTTCCTGCCCTCTCACAGCCATCAGCAGCGCCAACAAGAACAGTGAAGCGCCCGTCAAGTGGGGCAGGTGGTGAGGCAGCAGCAGCAGAGGGGGAGGTAGCAGCGGGCAGTGGTGGAGGGGCAGGGCTGCCTCGAGAGGACATCAGTGCCAAGCTGACCGCAACTCTCATTGCCAACCTTGGCAACTCCAACTGGAAGGTCAGTGTGCTGGTGCAGGAACCCCTTGATGTGGAGTGATGCACTCACCTGACAGAAAGATGAGGCCGCGGAGGCTTGGAAGTGTGAGAATTGGTTCCGTGATTCTGATTACTGCTGGGTTGCCGTGTGGTCTCACAGTTGGTCCACTTGGGCCATGTGTCTGACTTTTGCATCCGCAATGTTATTGCCCTGCCCAACTGTGTGCTATCAGGTGCGGCAGGAGTCGATGGACGCGGTCAATGGCATCATTGAGGAGGCCAATCGCCGCATCCTGCCCGACGGCACATGTAAGTGCAGCCGCCCGGCCGCCACCCTGTTCCTCCCACCTTCTTCAGCCAGCACAGCCGTCCCATTGTCGCATTTCCTGAACCATCAAGCCTACCCACCTGTTATCAATCAACTCGTGCCTGCCCGTGCTGTGTTTGCCTTGGTGCAGTTGAGGTGTTTGGGGCGCTAAGGGCGCGACTGTCAGACAGCAACAAGAACCTCATCATCCTCGCCATGAACACCATCGCCAACCTGGCTGACGCCATGGGCGCACCAGTGGACAAGCACAGCCGGGTAAGCCGTCCCTCCCCAACCTGCTTCCCACTCATCACCACCCTGCTGCTCCACCTTCCCTGCTGCTCAACCTTCTTCCGCTCTTTCCAAAGCTCAACGCTTCGACTGCCCTCTTACTGTCTGACCCAGTTCTGTCTGAGATGCAATTCTCGTATGGTTGTGTACCCGATTCATGTCGCCCTCCGTTCTGTGCCGTTTCGTGTGGCCGGCAGGGCATCATATCGGACGTGCTCAAGTGCCTGAGTGACCCCAAGCGCCAGACCAGGGAGGCAGTCGTCAAGACCCTCGACTCCTGGCTGGGAGCGCTGGGCCCCGACAAAATGGTACCCCACCACCACCACCACCACCACCTTGCTTGACCTTTCCTCCCTCTTGGCACTGTAAAAGTCGGTGCATAAGAATTACGCGTTCTTTCTCTGTGGTGGCGCCTGCTGTATGGTCAGATCCCAGTGGTGGCGCCTGCAATGATGGACGCCAAGATAGCAGCGGATGGGCGCAAGGAGCTCTACGAGTGGATGCTGCGGCAGCAGGTGCTCTCCAAGAGCGACCCCGGCAGTGCCATCACGCTGCTGCGTGCATGTGCAGCTGGGCTGCAGGACAAGTCACAGGAGATCCGCAAGGTAGCTGAAGCCCTCACCACGGAGCTCGTCAAGGCCTGTGGCTGCGATGCTGTGAGTGCAATCCGATTGCTCATCCTCACCACGACTTATTGGCAGTTTCTCATGTAAATGGCTGCTTCAGCGAGAATTGACCCTGTTGCATTCCTCTCTTGATCATATTCTTTCTCGGTGCTTGCTGTGTGCAATTCTGTGGGGACTTGGGGGGAATGTTCTCGTGCGCCAGGTGAGCAAGGCAGCGAAGCACGACCTGCCAGCAGCAGCGCAGCCGCCGGTGCTGCTGATATCGGAGAAGCACCGGGTGTCAGCGGGCAGTGCGGACGGCATGGAGGAGGACGAGGAGGAGGCGCCCACCGTCAGCCCGGCCCTCAAAGGCACATCTCGTGGCACCAGGCCTCCCTCGCCTGGTTCTGGGGGCCGATCCTCCCTCCCCGCACCACCGGTACAGCCATTGTTTGCTGGTGGGCACCTGTTTGGTTCTCAGACTTCCCCGTGCCAGTGTTCACTGTTGCTGCTTCCCATGCTCAGCTACTAACTCGTGTATTTTTGGCTGTGCCCCTCCTTCCACCTTTCTGGCTGTGCCCCTCGTCTCCTCTTCATGGCTGTGGAGCAGATGGGGAGGTCACCAGCATCGGCATCAAAGATGGGCGCGCGGCAGATGCAGGCAGCACTGCAGGAGGCAGCGCTGCAGAACGAGCCGCTCTTCAACCTCAGGGAGTCCATCAAGGTACGCTGTGCCTCACCATTCTGCCACTTCTGGTGTGGGAATTGCACGAGTCGTTTCTTGGGTGATTGGGATGCGAGCTGCACAAGCGGAACTGATTTAGGGCTGTTATTTCGCTTTCACTGAATCTGTGTCCGTGCAGGAGGAGAGGGACCGGTCACCACGTGGCATCAAGGTCAAGTACGAGGACCCGCGACCAGAGCAGCTGCAGGAGCTGGAGGTGGGTCCGTGGTGGAAGTGAGGAGAGAGCTAGTAGTCCGTGCCTGTTTCGTGCAAGCTTCACCACCATGCCCTCACCATTCATGCCTTTGCCCTTCTGATGAGTTGAGCTTCTCCTGCCCTGCTCATGTGACACGTTGCATGGCGTCCCGTTCCCGTGTGTGTGGATGTGCATGGTGCAGGCGGACGTGGCGAAGATATTCCGGGAGGACCTGGTGCAGCGCATGTTCAGCAAGGACTTCAAGCAGCACGTGGCTGTCATTGACATCTTCCACAAGGCACGCTCGCTCCTCCTTTCTTAGGACCTCCGTCATCATGTGCTCAATGGATGATGCTGGTTGTACAGTGCAGCGCTCTCGCTTGCTCCTTTTGGAAATGCTGAAACTTTCGATCCGGCAACAATGTCCGTCAATCCCATGTTGTGTCCTCTGCATGCCTGTGCCCTCATCGTCTCCATGCCACACATTCTCCCTTACACTGATCAGGCCATGGAGCAGCAGCCGCACGAGTTCGTGGAAGTGTTGGACCTGTCCCGCACTAATTCGTGCCTTTTGGACTGACTCACAGTTGTTTCCCCCCTCTCCCTCTCTTCCCCGTGCGCGCACTAATCAGGCCATGGAGCAGCAGCCGCACGAGTTCATGGAGGTGCTGGACCTGCTGCTGCGGTGGGTGGTGCTGCGCATAGCGGAGGCCAACACCACGTCGCTGCTGCGCGCTCTCGACTTCCTCACGGACCTCGTGCAAGTGCTCACCATAGAGGGCTACATCCTCACGGAGTATGAGGCCAACATCCTCCTGCCCTGCCTCGTTGAGAAGGTACGCACATGCCGTGCACGCGCCCCTCGGCCATGGCTTAGCTCTCACAGCTGTCAGTCTCTCATCCCTCGTCCTCTCAACGTCCAGAAGCTTCTCCAGCGCTTGAGTCTGTCTGTTGGCTTCCCTGTCTGCTGCTTATACTCATCCCCCCCCCCCCCCTCCCCCCCCCATCACTACCACGACGACCACCACCACCCATGCCACCAGTCGGGGCACAACATAGCCAACATCAGGGAGAAGATGCGGGAGCTCATGCGGTCGCTGCCGCTGGTGTTTCCAGCGACACGCGTGTTCCAGGCGGTGGTGGAGGGGCTGCGCTCCAAGAACAACCGCACTCGCATTGAATGCGTGGAGCACATGGAGGCCATGCTGGAAAGGCATGGCATTGAGGTGAGCTGTTTGTTCCCGCCTGTCCTTCTCATCTGCTCTTATGCAATGCATTTCCCTGCACCTGTTGTTTTTTGCCAGAGTACTCAAGTCTCGTGGCAAGTTGTGTTTTACTCCCTCTATTTTCGACTGTTCTCCCATGCTCCAATGTTCTCATGCTCGACTGTGTACCCGCCATGCATGCAGACGATGGGCAGCTCACGGGTGCCGCTGGTGACGGTGGCGGCGCTGACCACGGAGAGAGACACGGAGCTGCGCAAGGCGGCGCTGAGCATGCTGGCGTCCGTGTATGTGGTGCTGGGAGATGACATCTGGCGGCTGCTGGGGAAACTCACCGACGCACAGAGGGGGCTCATTGAAGACAAGCTCAAGTGGAAGGTACCTGCCTGCCCTCCTCCCTCCTTCCCTCACTCTTTGCTTCCCTTTCCTCTTCGCCAGGGATCTTGCTTCCTCTCTTCCACCACTCCACCCGCGTGTATTTCGCGTGAGCTCCACATTTTCACTTGTATTCTGCTTCCTGATTCTTTTTCCATGACTTGAATGCCGCAGCGTGCCCCTCGTGCAACTGCCACCTCCCCCACTATTCTGCTTTCCCCCGTTGCCATTGTGTACCTGTGAGCAGGCGCGAGAGATGGAGAAGCGCAGGGAGGGGGCTCCGGGCCAGCAGAGGGGCAGGCGCATGTCAGGAGGCGGGGCTGCAGGCATGGAACCCCCTGTACCCATCGGAGCGCTGCCCTTGTGAGCCTTCCTCACCTCACCCATCTGCCTTCTCCAGAGAGTTTCTTCTGTAGTCGCTGCTCTTCTCTCCTGTATCATGCAGTTTGCACTGCCCATGCAGCCACGCTCGTTTGTGGACTTGTGCAGTAAATGAAACAACGAATTCCCATCCTGCATTTTTTCGCTCCCTTTGTGCACATGTATTTCTGCGTTCTCAGGGCCACGAGGATGCACATGGCAGAAGCTGCCCAGCCACTAGCAGCAGCGCCCATGCACTACCAGCAACCCGCATACAGCAACGGGGCAGGCATGCCCCCAGGCATGCCGCACAGAGCAACAGAGCCCATGGTGACCCCCCCAAGCCACATGGCGGCCATGACCCGCCGCCGCGCCACCGACAGCCAGGCCTATGCGCACTCGTCACACTCCACACAAGCAGGGCCGGAGTCATTCTTTGAGGCCATTCTGTTCATTGATCGTGAGGCGCCGCCTGAGAGGGTAGTGGAGGGGCTCAAGTACCTGTTCCATGAGATGCGCAGGGGGATCACGGAGGAGGACCCCTGCGTGCTTGCTGTGTTCCGGGAGCACATGCCGCGCTACATCCGGATGCTGCGCTTCCAGGTATGGCAGTGGGGGAGGCGCGGTCACGCGTGTGCTTGGTTGCTTTGGCTGCATGGGCTATTGAGTGACTTTCCTCTGCATGCTCATGTGTGCACCTTTGGAAGCATCAGACAGCGGGTTTGTTACTCATAAAAACCCTCGCCTTCCCCATGTGCCCCATTCCCCTCTGCTCCATTCGCCCGCACTGCACAGTTTGTGCAGTTCTTTGTGCGCTCCGTTCCCGACGCACAGGTCAAGACCTACAAGTACATCCTCAACTCGCTGCTCACGGTACACCCTGCCCTAGCCTGCCACCCTGCCGCACCCTGCTTGCCCTTCAACTGTGCGTTGAGGTTACAAGCCCTGCAGCTGATGCAAAGCACCCTCTCTTCCAAACTACTCCATTCTCCAAGCACCCTCCTCCTGGATCCCCTAGTCTTCCTCGTCTGACACCTGCTGACACCTCCTCTTCTCCCTTCCTGCAGCTGCATGCAATGTGCCTTTCTGCCTTGCCCATCCCCGAGGCCTACTCTCCCCCCTCTCCATTCAATGCTACCTCTCCTCCCTTCACTGCATGCAGCTGTTTGAGACCAAGTCACTGAGCATGCAGATTCTAGACGACGACCTACGGCTACTATTGGAGGAGATGACCATCTTCATGCTGCACGAGCGCATCAAGCAGCAATGGAGGAGCCGTCTAACCCCTCTCCACCCCTCCACCCCCCTCCCTTCCACGCATAGCTATTCGAGACCAAATCACTGAGCATGCAAATCCCGGATGACGACCTGCGACTGCTACTGGAGGAGATGACCATCTTCATGCTGCACGAGCGCGTCAAGCGGCGCAACCCCGACGACTCCACTGCGGACCTGTGCCGCGCCGTGAACATCCTGCTGCTCAAGATCCTGGACACGGCGCCCTCCACGCCGCTCTTCCTCTCCTTCATGACCATCCTGCGCCCCACCTACACCATCAAGGGCTCCACTGCTGCTGACGTCAAGGGCCCCGATGGCACACCACTCGCCGCACTCGTTGTCAAGTGCCTGCTGCGCATGTGCAAGGTCAGCCAGGGGTGTTTCTTGAGTCGACTCACCATGCTGCACTTGCGCGCCCTCCGCTTTCCTTCACTCATGCCCTCACCTCCTTCCATCATCGCCAGCTCTCCTCTGTTTTGAAGTACATATTGCCCAAACGTTATCAGCAATACCTCCCGTGCATTCCGCCTATGCTGCCCTTGATCCATGTGTGCAGAACTTCAGTGGGTACGTGGCGGACATGGACTTTGACCGCCTGCTGTTCGGCATCCACCAGTACTTTAGCGACTTCTCCCACGCCGAGCTCCGCAGGAGGTGAGCTAGCCATGCAAGCATGGTGCAACCATGATGCGAGCAGGTACCGGCCCCACAGCTAGATAAACGGCCCCTTGGTGTTCACTCCCAAGCAAAGCTGCTTTCCATGCGTGGCGTTTCGTGGATTTCCTGCTGCCATATCCCACTCTCTGCCCCGTCTGCCCGCTATCCATGTTCCGCTCAAGAATCCTCTCCCCCATGGCCCTGCTCCCTCTCGTCTCCCCACCAGAGTGACGACGGACGAGCGCACACTCTCCATGTTCCGCAAGATCCTGGCAGAGGCCGTGGCAGCCAAGGGGCCGGCCATCAAGGGACACCTGTCGCTGATCCCCATCGACGAGACGCCACAGCCGTTCATCCTGCAGCAGGTCGACCTGGTGCTCCAGCAGGTCCTCGAACGCTCCTCCGCCACCGCTGCTGACGCTGCAGTGCCTGATGACTCCTCACTACCTGACCAGGTGAGCTGTTCGGCTTGTGTACCCACCTAAATGCATGCCAGTTACCAGCCTGTACCCAAAGTGACCACTCCCTATGTGCCAGTCCTTCTGAGTCCTGTTTCTGCTTGCTAAAGAAATCCTGCTCAACCCCTGTCTCACATATTCTCTCCTTGTCTCTCCTACACGTGATCAGGATGAGCTGCAGAGCATAGTGCGCAAGATAGTGGATCGCAAGCAAGGAGCAGTCAGCCTATTCGAGCTTCACTACTACATGCAGTCACACCCTGGGGTAAGCTCACTGCTACATACAGTCACACACGGTATGCGGGAGTCCTTGCTGATGGATCCCTATGCCTCTCCATTCTTGAGCGCCCTCCTTGCATTCGCCTCCCTTCTCAATGCTCCGATCAACTAAAGCCCTTCCTAAACCCTTGCGCCGGCTCATGTGCTCCCCTTCTTGCGCCCTCCTATGCGGCAGATTGACGTGTTTGCACGGCTGTCCAGCATCAGCGACACGATGAGGGAGTACCTTCAAATGGGCATCCTCCACGTGCGCGAGCACGTAGCCCGAGGCGGCACCTTTGCCACATTCGATGCCTCTGTGCTGGAAGCAGGCGCTGCTGCCTCTGTGCCGGAAGCAGGCGCTACTGGAGGCATGAGGTGGCCTTCCAGGGCGGTGCCAGCGATGCCGGTGCCAGAGGAGCAGCATCTGCCCTTGAGTGGGCTGCCGCCCAACGTGGTGCAAAGAGGGGCGGGCGATGGTGGGAGCTATGGGAGTGCTGCAGCAGATGCAGCGGCGTATGAGATGTCTAAGATGAGGCTCAATGGGCAGCACTCAGGTGTCAACCTCAGATACTGATGTTGCTGAGATGGTATGGTCATGCACAAGCATGTGTAGGATAGTCAGCTGGGTAGTTGGTTATGGTAGAGATATGTATTGTCCACTCTCTGTAGTCAATTGTAGGAAGCACTTGGTGGCATCCCTGCTATCTTAGTTGAAAAGGTTACATGCTATTGATATTTGACTCCAGGCAAAATTGACGGTGTTATGGACTCAATACTAGATCACAACCATAAGCCTCAGTGCTGGTGTAAATTCCTCTTTCCTGCTCTAGCCTCCAACCAGCTCTGAGTAATCAAGCCAGCTATCTCCCGGCCATGGCCTTGAGCTCCTTGTGAGCGAATTTTGAGAATGATAAAAAACCAGCTATCTCGCAGCCATGGCCTTGAGCTCCTTCACGTCATCAACTGCCGCTGCCAGTTCAAGCTCCTCCTCCTCCGGCTCCCCTGACTCCAGGTTCGGGTCCTTGCCGAACCTAAACGGCGGTCGGCCCGCCTGCGTGAATGGCATGAGCCCAAAGACTCGTGCGGTTCGGATCTCCCGAGCCACACGGCGCTGCGCCTTGGCAGAAAGCCGAGTCTGCCAGGTTGGCGCGGCATGAGGTTTGGGAAGAATGCAGGAGTGCGGCATGGCATGAGAAGCGGAGGAGGTGAAACAGATGCAAGTGTGGGCGTTGGTATAAAAGGAATGGACAACCAGGAGTGCGAGTGAGGAGGATAATCAGGCAGCACATACGGCACTGCACACTCGAAACTCACAAGAGGAATGAGAGGGTGGGCTCACCTTGTTTGTGGGTTTGATTTTGGCGGTTTGAGATATGAATTGTGACAGGAAACGCGCATTCTGAGGGGAAGGAAGGGGAGGCGCAAAGAGTGGAACCGCGAACAAGAACAATTTGCCGACAGGTTCTTACAAGGGCCAGGACGGGCACGGACCAATTGACTGTCCCTGTATGCTAGACTTTCCCACTCCACCATGCCCCTGCCTGCAGCCCATCTTCATGTCCCTCAGTCCAACTTTGCTCCCATTTCTCCGTTTCCCCCCTCGCCCACTCCCTCCATGTTCCCTTCCCCCCTCACACTCTCCCCTGTGCCCCTCCATGTTCCCATCCCCCCTCACACTCTCCCCTGTGCCCCTCGCCCACTCCGCCCTGTGCCCCCATTGTCCACTTCCCCCCTTCTCCCATCTCATAGGGAAATCTGCAGCTCGCAGCGTCTCCTTGGCGGAAGGCGCGGGCAGCTTTTCTTCCCACCCACGTCCGTCTTTGTGCCCCTCGCCCACTGCCCCCCCACACTCTCCCACCTGTGCCCCCATCGCCCCGCTTCCCCCATCTCACGCGGAAGTCAGCAGCGCGGAGAGTCTCCTTGGTGGTGGGGACGGGCAGCTTGCGCCGCAAGTCCCCCGTGCCGTCTGGCAGGGGCTGGGATATGTCCAGCTCCTGCCACGTGTAAGAGAGAGAGACAGCACAGAGAAACCATACAGCACATGGCAAGCTTGATACACTCATAAGCAATGCGTGTCCCCCGTGCCGTCTGGCAGGGGCTGCGATATGTCCAGCTCCTGCCGTGCAGCACACAGGGAGAGGCAGCAGAGGGAGATTAGTAAGGCACATTTCAAGCTTGATACACTCATCAACAAAGCATGCGCCTCGTGTGCCCTCACAGAGGGGCGGGGAACGCCCAGCTTTTGCTCTGCAACACCCACAAGAGAGGCACACACACACAGCACATGCCATGCTGGATACACTCAATTGCGATGCACTTGTCAAGTGATGTGCGCGCACCTCAGCGGAGTGGGTCTGCCCCGGGTTGTAGATGCAGTCAGAGCGGAACTGGAAGGTCTCCGTTGTGAGGCAACAACAGATACAACACCCGAGCCTCTACCTGCACGGAAATTTACCCCAGCACAGTGCACCTGAGCAAACTGCGCTCACCTCAGCGGAGTAGGTCTGCCCCGGGTAGTAGATGCGGTCAGGGCGGAACTGGAAGGTCTCCTCGCCCTCCTCCAGGTCCACCTCTCTCACCGCTCTCATCGCCCGGTCTGATAGCACCATCTCCGCCTCCACCTCCGCCACCCCCTGCCATGGACCAACGCCCATCCCCCCGCCCCCGCCCCTCCAGCTGCGCCCCCGGCTTCCCCCCCACCCCCATACCTCCCCCTTGCCCCTTCCCCGCTTCCTCCTGCCCGACCCCCGCCCCCAGCTCCCCACCCCTCCAGCTGCGCCCCCGGCTTCCCCCCCACCCCCATACCTCCCCCTTGCCCCTTCCCCGCTTCCTCCTGCCCGACCCCCCCACTCCTCCCCCTCTCCCCAGCTCCTCCTCCCTCCACTCCGCCCCCCGTACCCCCCTGCGCGACCGCCTCTCCCATAGCTCTCTTCCCCTTCCTCTACCAACTCTCCTCTCCCTCTCCCCCCTCCCACTGTCCTCCCTCCCCTGTTCTCTCCCCCAAATCTCCCCCCTCCCCTCCTCTCCTCCTCCTCGTCCTCCTCATCAGGCCCAATCAACGCCTCTAACTCATCAAAGTCTTGGGAAGAGAGGGAAGAGGAGGAGGGGGAAAAGGAAGAGGGGGCGGAGGGGGGAGAGGAGAAGCGGTGGGAGGGAGGCCGGAGGGGAGGGGAGGCGGAGGGGGGCTGGGCCGCGCCTGATTGCCTGCTTAGCTTGGCTGCACGCAGGGAGGGGGACGGGGGAGAAGACAAGGAGAGATGCACTGAAGGGTGTTGGGGGCGCGATGCAGGCAGAAGGAAGAGAGGGGGAGGGAAGGGAAAGGGGAGGGAGGAGAGGAACGGGGAAGAGGAGCGAAGGCAAGGAAAAGAGCGCATGGTCAAAGTGAAATGGACGGACGACACGATTAGAGGGGAGGTGATGTGCGATGCACCACCCACCTACTGCCATGCGTGCCTGCTGCTCGCGGCCCTCCTTGCCTCCCCCCTCCCCATCCTCTGCCAGGCGACCAGGCACACACACCCACACGTGCAGTCCACACACACACACACAGTAACAACACACGTGTCAGACACACGCGCTGGTGAGTGCCACGTGGCAGGACGAGAGTCCAGCAACGGAGCAGTTCACTCCGCCCAAGTGTGCGTGGCAATGGTGACCTGGCAACTAGAGCTCGGGGTGAGAAGCTGCTACGTTGAAACTGCATTCATTGGAGCCTAGCGTGTGACACTGCCACGTGTTCTGTGTGACAGACGCTGCCACGTGTCAGCATCACTCACTGGACAGCGCCTGCTGAATCCACTGCCGCCACTCCCCGTCCTCCTCCTTCCGCCCCTCCCCTCCGCCTCCCTTTTCCGCTCCGCCTCCCCCCGTCCCCCCGCCACCGCCGCCCGCATTTTGATCCGCGCTGGCTGCTGCTGCTGGGAGCGCGGTGGAGTGGAATGGCGCTGCAACGAGGGAGAGGGGGGGAGGCGGAGAGGGAGAGGCATGGTTGAATGAGACGTGAGGCGCGAAGAGGGACGGAGACGAATGGGTGCGACATTGTGCGTAGTGAACTGAGAGGGGGGAGGGGGCTCATTGCGGGGAGGGACAGAGAGCGGGGAAGGGGCACGGGGTGGGGAGGGGGGTTCTCGGTAACCGATCATTGCCCTCACCAGCGCCACGTGGCTGCGACCTGAGCGCAATGAAGCCCCCAGCGATCGCGTCCGCGCAAGGGATGCGCGCGGAGATGGAACCGGTAAGGGGATGGCGGAGCGGGAAGGATGACGTCAGCATGATTGATGGCGGTGGGGATTGAAGAGTTTGATCGACGGTTTGTAACGGGGACAGATCGATGTGATCGGACGGTCCAGATGCTCTCGAGGTACTCGGAGATCCCGAGGCGACGTCGCTCACAACAGGGACAAGAGAAGATGACGTCATTGAAGCCACGATACGCTGGCCTTCTCTCAAGCCGCGACGCGCCGAGGTGGCAGCCGTCCGCCAGGCTAACTGAGAGGCCATGGCGGCCCGCGAACGTGAGAACCTCAGCTGACAAGTCTACGAATCACGAGACTCCTGGTTGGAGCAAACGCGAAGTATCCCGGCTATTCTCACACACCCAGCAGCCGGTTTGGTTGGGTGAATAACAAATACGTGCTGGTTCAAAACGGTACACTGATTTCCTAGGGTCGTGGTGTACGCGTTCCTGAGTGCCCCAGATTACAGGTGAATCCTCTTGAGGAACCAGAACAATCAACCACTCTAAACCTTACAGCTATAATTATGACCACCCTCTATTTCCACTACAAGATTGCCATACGTTGGCATATCCTAGTATTTTGACAAAGAAAAATCATTTTCTGGGTGGCAAGGCGTTGACAACCAGCTGTACCCAGTAGCTCGCCCCCAGTGCAAGAATATCGTCATTGAAATCGTACCTGCAAACGCAGAAATCGCAAGCAAAGGGCGACAGGAATTGTACCACAGCAATTGCAAGGCCGTGCATAACACTGGTTGATAGGTAGCAGAAAAGGCGAGCTCCAGAATAGAACAAAACACTCTCACATGGTGTGGCTGTTACAAGAAAATAGCATGCATTGCTCCCAGCGAGTCACGCATTCATTTTCCTGCCACGAGGCCCCATCCATGCCCACTCACAAGGGATTGTGCAGCATGCAGCCTCCTTCTGTGGGGCCGTTGCCTATCCACAGGTAACAACCTGACAGGCAACAGGAGGGAAAGAGAGAGAGGGCACACTTGGATAGTGCATATCGCACAGGGTGTTACCAACACCAGTAACCCAGGACCAGAGTTTGTACAAGCAAGGACTTCGCTGCCTCAACTCCTCCCTCACCTCCTCCCTCACCTCCTCCCTCACCTCCTCCCAACCTGTCTCCCCCTCAACCTGCCTCTCCTCACCCGCCACGCGTTCCAGGATGTATCCAAAGTCTTCAGCGCCCATGGAGGGAGCGCGTGAGTCCAGGTCCAACAGTGCCGCCCCCACCACCGCACAGGCTTGCCGTCTCAGCTGTGTGCCCCATCCATACTACCTGCTTCCCCAACCCTTCCCCTCTCCCTCCCCTCCCCTCACCAGGCACTCTCTCCAGGATGTATCCAAAGTCCTCGGCGCCCATGGAGGGCGCGCGCGAGTCCAGGTCTACCAAAGCTGTTCCCACCACTGCCCGTGCCGCTGCTGCCGCCTCCTGTGCCTCCCTGGGCGTGTTGACAGTGGCGGGGAAGTGGTCACAGAACCGCACCGTGGCCGTGCAGCCTGGAGGGGGGAAAGGGAGGGGGGCCAAGGAGTTTAGGAGAGGGGTGGAGTGGGAGGCAAGGGTGGGGCATGTGTTGACGCTGCTGATGCCGCCTCCCGGGTCTCCCGGGGCGTGTTGATGGTGGCGGGGAAGTGATCGCAGAGCCGCACCGGGGCCGTGCAGCTGGGGAGAAAGGGAGGGGGGGAGGAGGAGCAGTGTGAGGCGTCTTTTTGAAGCGGCTCAAAAGGCAGTGTGGGGCGTGAAAAAGGGCACCATCGCCGCATTCCCCCTCTCCGCTTCCCACCCTCTCACCATGAGCAGCAGTGACGCCCTGTGCCATGCGCTCTATGCCTCGCATCATCGCCTCCCTCGTCTCCCCCCGGTACGTCCTCAGCGTGCCCTTCACCTCCGCCTGCCGTGCAGGCATGGGAGATGGGGAGGGGAGGGGAGAGGAGAAAAGAGCAGGTGAGAGGACGGAAAGACGTGCGCTCTATCCCGCGCATCATCGCCTCCCTCGTCTCCCCCCGGTACGTCCTCAGCATGCCCTTCACCTCTGCCTGCCGTGCCACCGCATGGCACAGGTTGGAGGGAAGAAGCAGGGGACGGGGCGGAGGGAAGGAAGGAGAGAGCTGAGAGGAGGGACAGAGAGTTAAGGGAACAAGAGCGGGTCTAAGCTTGTCTTTTGGTAAAGCTCACAGTGGTCAGAAACGGCTAGAGCCTAGAGGTGCCAGTGAAGGAGCAAGAGCGGGTGAGTGGGTGTGGACGATGCGTGCAGGTGGCATGCAGCTGAGGTGCTGCACAAGAGCATGAGCACGAGCAATGGCGGTGGCGTGATAGTGGGGGACGGGTGGGCACTGACGGAGGGAGGGATGACGTTGAAGGCGTCCCCTGCGTGTATCTGCGTCACGCTCACCACCGCACTGTCATGTGGATCCACCACCCTGCTCACCAACGCCTGAATGGTGTGCGTGGTGTGGTGGAGTGGTTGGAAAGGGGGAAAGGGGCGGGAGGCAGTGCTGTGTGGGTGTGAATTTCTGTCACGCTCACCACGGCACTGTCGTGTGGGTCCACCACCCGGCTCACCAACGCCTGCCATGGCAGGGTGGCAGAGTGGCAGAGGGTGCGGGGGGAGTGGGGGAGTGGGGGAGTGGGGGAGTGGGGGAGTGGGGGAGGAGCCGAGAAACATCTCAGAGCACGCCCACATGACAGGGCATATCTCTTATGTGTACACGCTCACCACTGCACTGTCATGTGGATCCATGTGGATCCACCACTGTGCTCACCAACGCCTGTATGGCGTGTGGGAGAGGGGGGGGAAGATTAGGAGGGAGTTAAGAGAGTTGTTCAATCTTGCCATCAGCCCAACGCACACATGCGCACACAATCATACACACATACCATTATGGAATACCCAAGGCTGAACTGAAGTCTCTAAGGCATTCCCTAAACCCCTTCCGCACACATGCGCACACACTCGTACACACACCTGCAGGTTGGTGACGAGGTTAGCAGCAGCGAGCACGGGGTCACTACCCCCTCCCAGGTGTGGCATGGCGGCATGGCAGCCCGTGCCCCCCACCGTGATGTGGAAGTTGTCCACTCCCGCCATCACCGGACCCGAGTGGATTGCAAACCGCCCCACTGGCAGCCCTGGCCTGGAGAGGAGAGAGAAGGGGAGATGAAGAGGTGGCAAGGGGGTGGGAAGTTGGGATGGGTGAGCGGTCAGTGCTCTGCCATCCACGTGTGGCATGGCAGCCCGTGCCCCCCACTGTCATGTGAAAGTTGTCTATTCCCGCCATCACCGGGCCTGAATGAATGGCGAACTGCCCCACTGGTAACCCTGGCCTGCAGGGGCGGGAGTGAGGGATGGTAACGGGTTGGGATGGGTAAGCGGCCGTTGCCCTGAGAGGTGTGGCATGGCAGCCCATGCCCCCCACCGTAATGTGGAAGTTATCCACCCCTGCCATCACCGGACCTGAATGCACTGCAAACCGTCCGACCGGTAACCCTGGCCTGCATGGCATGACAAGGGGTTGAGATGGGTGGGGGCACGGTCAGTGCTCTACCAAGTGAGGCATGGCAGCCCGTGCCTGCCACCATGATGTGGAAGTTATCCACCCCTGCCATCACCGGGCCTGAATGGATTGCAAACCGCCCCACTGGCAGCCCTGGCCTGGGAGGGAGAGATGGCAAGGGACTGGGATGGGTGAGCGCTGGGTCCAAATTCTTACGTATGTCAAAAATCTGTGCTCTGCCAGACGTGCCCTCCACGTGGAGAAGGAAGCTAAGAATGCCTGTTGATACATGTTGTCCACGTACTGTGTAGTGGATACCTGGGTATCCACTCCCGCCGGCAACACGCTACACACGTCATTACCAGCAGGCTGCAGCACGCATCCCCACAATGCAAGCCTGCCATAATACCGGTTGTGCATGCCGAAGGCAGCCCGCACGGGGTACGTCTTCAGCAGCCCATCCTCCAGCATGGAGAGCGCCCAGCCATGCATACGCTGCCATCACCACCCTTACCATCACCAACCCCTCCATTACCAGTTGTGCATGCCGAATGCAGCCCGCACGGGGTACGTCTTCAGCAGCCCATCCTCCAGCATGGAGAGCGCCCAGCCATGCATACGCTGCCATCACCACCCCCTCCATTACCAGTTGTGCATGCCGAATGCAGCCCGCACGGGGTATTTCTCGAGCAACCCATCTTCAAGCATGGCCAGTGCTCCCCCTCCCTCCCGCCCGTATTGGTTGTGTGTGGGCGTGCCCTCCTCGGCGGGTTGGAACACCACGTGGATGCGCCCTCTGAAGGGGCGGTGCTCTGCCAGGTACCGCGCTGCTCCCAGCAGCATGGCAGTGTGGCCTGGTGGTTGGGGAGGCGGCAAGGGGCGAACAAGAATAGGCTGTGGTTTGCCGGTTGGCAAACCACGTGTGTGTGGGCGTGCCCTCCTCGGCGGGCTGGAACACCACGTGGATTCGCCCCCGGAAGGGGCGGAGCTCTGCCAGATAGCGCGCTGCTCTTAGAAGCATTGCAGTGTGGCCTGCAGGGAGAGAGGGGTAGTAGGGGCGAACACACACAAATCAACAGTTGTTTATCAGTTGGCATGAAGGTGCGTCTGCGTGGGCGTGCCCTCCTCGGCCGGTTGGAACACCACGTGGATTCGCCCCCTGAAGGGGCGGTGCTCTGCAAGGTACTGCGCTGCTCCTAGCAGCATTGCTGTGTGGCCTGGGGGAGGGAAGGGGTAGCAGGGGCGAACAAGACTTGGCAGTGGGCGTGCCCTCCTCGGCCGGCTGAAACACCACGTGGATTCATCCTCTGAACGGGCGGTGCTCTGCCAGATACCGCGCTGCTCCCAGCAGCATGGCCGTGTGGCATGTGGAAGCGGGAGGGGAGGGGGGAAGGAGGGAGCAGGGAACAACAGAGTGAATAGTGGCTGGAGAAAGGGCAATGCAGGCAGTGAGTGAGGCAGATTGTGGAGCCATGCATGGCATGGCATGGCATGGCATGGCATGGCATGGCATGGCATGGCGCCCCTTACAATTATGCGTGCATGCACGCGATCTCACCGTCGTGCCCGCATGCGTGCATGGTGCTGCATCGTTCCCTTACTGCACTACACCGCACTGCACCGCTCTCTCACCGTCGTGCCCGCATGCGTGCATGGTGCTGATGCGCTGGGAGCGGTGCTCAAACGCGTTGCCCTCCTCCATGGGCAGCGCGTCCATGTCCGCCCTGCGCGGCACACAGGGGGGTTGTGAGGGGAAGAATGGGGCATTGGGGGGGGAGAAGAGGGAAGGAGGGGGAGGCGCTCAAGTTAAACGCGTTTTCCTCCTGACGCGTTTCCACGTCCGCCCTGCGCGCTCACACGGGGTGAGAGAGGAAAAGGGAGGCGGATTGGGGCAGAAGGGGTGCGCAGTGGGGAAGAAAGGGAGTGAATTGTGGAGGGATGAGGACACATAAGCATGCATGCCGTGAACTGCATTCCGTTCCCTCTCCCATGCCCCCTCACAGCATCCCACCACCACCCACCCACACCATATCCCTCGCACGCACCGCCTACACTGCATTTCATCCTCGCTATAGCGCACCTCAGCATGATGGCCGGCGGAAGCTCCTCAGCTTCTCCACCCTCCGCGCTTCCCCCCTCCTCCACTGTCAGAGTCCCCACCACGCCGGTACTCCCGAGGCTCCTGTCCACGTCATACCCCCACTCCGCCAGCAATCCCGCCACCATCTCAGCCGTCCGCTCCTCCTCGAACGACAGCTCAGGATACGCGTGGATCGCGCGCCGCCACGTCATCATGTCCACGTGGCACGGCCCGATGCGCTCCCGCGCGGCCGTCAGCACGCGCTCGACCTCGTCGTCCGTCCACACGATCCCGCGTGACGTCAGCCGCACCGTCCCCTCGCGGCTGGCAGACTTGCCGGTTTCCGTCACGTCCGGGCCGGCGGCGGTGCTGGTGGTGCCGTTCCGGCCGGCACTCACTGCCGTCTGCCCGCCTGACGCATCCCCCGCCGCCGCCGCCGCCGCTGTCGCCATTGCGCGCCGTGGTTGCTTCCGTAACCGGAAATCACGGGCCGTGGATTGCGGCGCGAGTTGACTATTTTGGAAGTAAGACCGCCATGAGGTGCGATTTGGACGGAGGAAATGGGCGGCGCGGAGGTGAGGGGAGCGCGCGAGCGCGAGGGAGGAGGAGAGAGCGGCGGTCATGGCGTGAGCAGCAGTTCGCTATAACAGTTAGCGATAGCAGTTAGCGATAGCAGTTAGCGATAGCAGTGCGACAGGAGTAAGCTGGGAGAAGCACGGAGCGGCGCAGAGTAGGGCGGTCGGGTCGGGAATAGAGGAAAGGGGGACAGCAATGGTGGACAGATGACGTGACAGCAATGGCGGGAATAAAGGAGAGGGGGCGGCTTTCTTTGCGCTCCTCTCCTCCTGGCCGCAAATTCTGGAACGCGGGGGACAACGATGCGACGACTCGATTGGTGGCTTGACGACATTCGCGAGGTGACAGGTCGGTGTAGTTCGCGATGAGAGCTCTGTCTGGGTGACGCATTGCGACAAGTGCGAAATCACCGAAACCGTTTTAAACGCTGATACACGTTGAGAATTGTACACAGGTTCGCCGCTTCTCGAGCTTGAGCTATCCCTGTTATACGGTCAGCCTTTATAAGATCCAACGCAGTCCCTCATATTCCTCACTTTCTTTATATGCTGCTGCTACCCCTTCCAGATATGTTTCGTGAAACCATCACATCTCTCCCTTTCTTCTCCCGCCAAGTTCGGGTTCCGTAAAATATCTCCGTCTGCCAACGGAAAATATCTGTTCTCCCTCCTCCCACCCTACCCTGTCAGGATTCCCACTTGCACCTCACCACGCGAGCGCACTTCGCATCTCCTCCTCTCTGCCGCCGTGTCTGCCGCTCGTCGCGTCATCGCGAGTCTGTCGTGCGGTCACCCGTGACCCGCTGTGTTTTTGTTTTCCCCAACCACGCAGCCAACTCGTCAGTCTCTCCGCTCTGCGCCCTCGCGCCTCCCCCTCGTCACATCGCCCGCGCGATCCAATGGAAACCGCCACATTCTCCGCCTCCTGCGCGCGAATCGCGCGTTTTTCATCCCCGCCATGCGCCTCCCCGCTATGCTCCTCCCCGCTAGGCCGCTCTCCGCGCACCCCCTTCCCGCTGCGCGCAATCTCCGCGGGTGCGAATAGCACCAGCGTCACCAATGGAGCCACGTCCTCGTGCAATGACACGTCAGCACGCAGTCAGCAGCACGCGTCCGTTCGATACCACGTGGTAAACGGTCGATCCACTGGCAGCCAGCCGCCACCAACTGCTGACGTCGCTGAGGCAGCCGTACGGAGCGACGGCGCGACGGGCCACGTGTCAGACGCTGATAGGCGGCAGCAGACAGTTGCAGCAATCGCGGCGTCGGGTATCGTGGCGTGCGTGCGCGCTGATAGGTGCGCGCCGCGGGGAAGAGCGGAAGAGTGTCCGAGATAGGAGGGGGAGTGGACGCCGCGCGGGGAAGAAGTGAACGGGCACGATGGGACGAGGGGAAGAAAAGGTAGCGAGCGCGGGGAGAGGCGGGATGAGCGCAGCAGAGAGAGAGAGAGGGTCAGCAGGGCGGCATGGCTAGCAAGCACACTCCCCATTTGCAGTGTGCTTACAGTCCCCACATGATGCGTGCGTTCTCTTCCCCCTTCTCATGCCGTCCCCTCATCCTGCTGACGCAGTGCTGACGTGGCGCTCTCTGCTGCGCGTGCTGCGCTTTCTGCGGGGATCCAGGTGGTGAGTTGCCGCCTCCCCACCCACACCATGCGAGGCGGCGTCCCCCCACCATACGTTGCCCGCATTGATGCGTCAAAACATCCAATCTTTCTTTCTCACCTCCCTGCCCCATCCTCCCTGCCCCATGCTCCCTGCCCCATCCTCCACCCAACACGCGCCCCATTGTCGTTATGCCTTCCCATTCACCCGCCCGCCTTCCCCACACCCCCGTCCGCACCACCACCCCCTTCCACTCTGGCAGCTGGAGGTCACATGCACCACGCCTGGCGCCTTCCAGGTGCGCATGTGCTGTGCTGCGTGGCGTGGCGTGGTGTGGCGTGGTGTGGTGTGATGTGGTGTGGTGTGGTGTGTGTGATAGGGACGGCATAGTATGACCGTCATGGGTGTACATGGTCACAAACACCTCGCTGCCTTCTGTATTCACTCTCTCATCCTCTCCCATGTCATTGCATACAATTAACACTCTCACCCTCTCCTCCCCACACCCCATCCCTCTCCCTGCAGGTCATTGCATCATTAGTCACGGAGTTCCCACATGCCACCATAGGGGTGAGTGAGTGAATGAGTGAGTGAGTGAGTGAGTGAGTGAATTCGCCACACACAGAGCAGCATAGTCCTCCTCTCCTCACCGCCACCATCGCCTATCCTGCGTGCATCCCCATGATCCACCATGCGGCACCCCATGCTCTCTTCTCCCTGTCCCCACCACGCCTCCCACCATGCATCCCTGTATGACGGCAGGCGGGCACAGTGCTCTCCCAGCAAGACGCCATGGCAGCTCAACGTGCTGGCGCTCGCTTCCTCATGAGCCCCGCCACTGATGGGGTATGTCTCTGTCCATGTCATGGGGCCTTTTCGATTGCTGTCCATGTCATGGGGCCTTTTCGATTGCTGTCCATGTCATGGGGCCTTTTCGATTGCTGTCCATGTCATGGGGCCTTTTCGATTGCTGTCCATGTCATGGGGCCTTTTCGATTGCTGTCCATGTCGTGGGGCCTTTTCGATTGCTGTCCATGTCATGGTGCCATGCGCGCATGCCATTGATGCGGTATGTCTCTGTCATGGTGCCTTTTGGATTCCTTTCCATTGTGTTCGCACGTCTCATCCCATGTGCACATCCCATGCTATGTGCATTGTGCATGGCCCACACTCCACCATGGCTGGCAGGATCTAGTGGCATCGCATGCAGCAGGCCCCATGGTCTTCATACCCGGTGCCATGACACCCACCGAGGTATGCCTCCACTGGTTGTTTGTGACCCCCACGCTATGCCCATAGCCCATCATGCCCATAGCCCATCATGCCCATAGCCCATCATGCCCATAGCCCATCATGCCCATAGCCCATCATGCCCATAGCCCATCATGCCCATAGCCCATCATGCCCATAGCCCATCATGCCCATAGCCCATCATGCCCGTACCCATCATGCCCATCCTGGTCTCGTCCTCCTCTCAACGAGGAACCTCACATCACGTGGCATCATGGGAGCGCCATTCCCTCTTTCAGCTCCTCGTTCGAGGAACACACAACCGCCCCTCTCCCCTTCCGCCCCCTCCCTCCCGCTCCTCTGTGCACGTGTCATGCTGTCTGTCCCGTCATGCATGCACTTAGACGCCATCACCCTGTGCACTCATCATCATCATCATCATCATCTCCAACCTCCTTTTGAGGCGCTTCAAAAGTCCATGCTCCTTGACATCTCACCGCACCTTTCACCCCGCCCCCACCACCTCCCCGTCCCTCCCCACTGCACATTCTCTGCTGCCCTGCTGCTGTTATCAGATCCTCTCAGCGTCTCGCCTTGGAGCTCCTCTTGTCAAGGTGGGGCCGTGCCATGCCATCCTGTGCCATGTCATCCTGTGCCATGTGCCATGTCATGCCATGCAACAGCTGTGACATACATCGATTTCCAGTAACCTGCATGCCATGCCATGCCATGTCCACTGTACCAGTGCCAGTATCCTTTGACACCTCTTGTGTTCTCATGTGTGCCAGTATCCTTTGACACCTCTTGTGTTCTCATGTGTGCCAGTATCCTTTGACACCTCTTGTGTTCCTACTTCTATTGCAGCCCACCCTCTCATCACCCTCCTCCATCTCCTCACACATCCTCTTTCCTGACCATCCTCCCTCTAGTCACCCCTCCTCTCTCGAATGGTCCTTCATCCATCCTGGCATCCCCTATCAGCTCTTCCCAGCGCCCTATGCAGGGGGGCAGGCTCTGGTGAGGGCCATGTACCGAGCAGTGCCGTCCATAGGGATAGTGCCGGCACATGGCATTCAGATGGGTGAGTGGCTAAGGGCATTCAGATAAGTGAGTCGGTGCTAATATTATTGGTTGACCGTTGCTTAATGTATTGATGGATATGCATTGCCTGTCAAATATTTATTTACGCACTTTCTGCCGTTTCTCTTCACTTGCAGACATGATCGAAGGGTATTTGGAAGCCGGGGCTGTTGCTGTTGTTCTGTCAGAAGCCATATTCCAAAAGGAGGACCTCAGGCGCCGGGACTATGAGAGAGTAGCACAAAGAGCTGCAAAGGCTGTTGAGATCCTCCAAGATGTTCCAAGTCAATCTAGATAGGAGGATGATTTGTAATTTCTATGAGCATCATAGATGTTCCGCCATTTGGATCTCCATAGATGGTTGGTTATCCGTAGCCGAGGTGCTCAATAACAGAGATATCTCGGAGCCCAGGTATCGAGGAAGTGGCAGTGCACGTGGCAGCTCCTACAGCCATCGAGCTGGAAAGATCCAACCGAGCGACACGCACCTGCGGCCAATCAGCGTTGGATCACCTCGTGTCCCGAAATTCGTTACAGGTATCTTCGATCTCTCATGTGCACTCGTTGACTGAAACGAATTCTGCTGAACTTCAGCAAATACAGTACCCGTCAACACTCCTGTTGCTAGGCGTTCTCGGATAGATTTGCGGGGAAGTGCGGCGACAGCCTTACGTGCCCTTCGCCGCAGCCATGTGGCGCACCGCCGCTTCTCGATGCGCATCTACCGCCCTCCGCGCCGCCAGACGCGGGGGGCGGTCCACACCTTGCGCCAATTCTGCCGCAATTCACACCGCACTCACCAACACCCACTCCGCCGTATCCCCCGCATCTCCCGCTCCGCCCGCCTCCTCTTCCCGCGCCTTCTCCACCAATCAGGAGCTCCATCTTCCGCCGCTCGAGCCGCGATTCGTGCGGCTCGCGCAGGACGTGCTGGACGGCAACCTGCACGCGCTGAGCCGCGCGATCACGCTCTGCGAGTCCGTGCGCGAGTCGCATCGCCCGCAGGCCGCGGCGCTTCTGCAGCACGTGCTGGAGGTGGTGCGCGCGCGCAGGGCGCAGGCGGAGGTGGCGCAGGGCGCGGGGAAGGCGAACGCGGGGATCTTCAAGATCGGAATCACGGGGCCGCCCGGCGCGGGGAAGTCGTCGCTCATCGAACGTGCGTGGGGGGTGGATGAGGGGTATAAGATCGGACGCGCTAGTGGGAGGAAGAGAAGGCGCGGGAGATGGGCGCAGCAGAAACGCCGTGGCGGGCATCCCGCCGGTTCTCCTCTCCGCGCACCCCCATCCGCGCTCGCCGCCACTTGATCAAGTCCTGACCCGAATCCCCCTCTCCCGTCGCCCCTCTCCCTGCACCCTTTCCCAGGCCTGCGCATGCACGCGGTGAAGGGCAGCAGCAGAATGGTTCTGCTGGCGATCGCCGCACCTTCCCATCCCCTGTCCTGAATTCCCCTCTCCCCTCCCCTCTCTCCCCGTGTGTTCACATCCCCATTCCCCAGGCCTGGGCATGCACGCGGTTCAGGACGACAGGCGAGTAGCCGTGTTGGCCATCGACCCGTCGTCCCACAGCAGCGGGGGGTCCATCCTGGGCGACAAGACGCGCATGGAGCGCCTCTCCGCGCACCCCTCCGCCTTCATCCGCCCCACGCCCTCGCGCGGGGAGGTGGGGGGCCTCGCGCGCAATACTGCTGACGCCGCGCTGCTCTGCGAGGTGGGTTGGGTAGGGAAGGAGGGGAGTGAATTGGGGAGGGGGATTGGGATGGGGGTTAAGACAGTGGGTGCCATGTGGATGGTGGGGAGACTGTGGGCGTGGTGTGAGCTTCCCCTTCCCTTCCCTTCCTCTCCTACCCCCATATGTGCAGGCGAGTGGGGAGGCGGGGTTGGAAGGGGAGACGGGGTGGGAGGGGGAGTGCTGCTGATGCCGCTCAGCCACGCCCTTCCATGTACTGTTTGCCGTCCCCGCCCCCACCCCCCCCTTGTCTCCCATATGTGTGCACAGGCGAGTGGGTGCGATGTGCTGCTGGTGGAGTCGGTGGGGGGTGGGCCGGCACACATGCTGATGCCTCTCTGCTGTGCTTCCCTGCTCTCTGCATCCACACACCCCTCCCCCCTTCTCCCTTTCCCCGCATGTGCAGGCGAGTGGGTGTGACGTGCTGCTGGTGGAGACGGTGGGGGGCGGGCAGGCTGACGTGGCAGTGGCGCAGATCACAGACATGGTGCTGCTGCTGCTGCCGCCCGCTGGGGGTGACGAGCTACAGGGCATCAAGAAAGGTGAGCAGTGCGGTGCAGTGCAGTGAAGGGGGGGATGTGGCAGTGGCGCAGATAACGGACATGGTGCTGCTGCCGCGCCGCCCGCTGGGGGGGACGAGTTGCAGGGGATAATAATGGAGTGCAGTGCGCCATGGAGTGCAGTGCGCCATGGAGTGCAGTGCGGCACAGTGCGGTACAGATGGTGCAGTGCAGTACAGTGCGGTACAGTGCGGTGCAGTTCGATGCAGTGCAGCAGGAGGGTGTGGAGGGGGGGGGGGGGGGGATGTACTGGTGGCGCAGGTTGTTGACATAGCGCTGCCACCCACTGTGGGCGAGGAGGTACAGGTGGGGGAAGAGTTGTGTAATGTGGTGCAGCACAGTGCAGTGCGGTTCATTCATCCCCTCCATCCTCTCCCCGACTCCACTGTGCAGGAGTGGTGGAGGTAGCGGACCTGGTGGTGGTGAACAAGGCAGACGACTCCATGGGGCAGGCAGTGCTGTCACACACAACTGCCACTCAATTGCTCCTTTCTTTCCTCCCTTATCCCCTCTCTCCTGTCCTCTCCTTTCCTTATTGCCATCGGGCACGAGTGGTGGAGATAGATAGCAGACCTAGTGGTGGTGAACAAGGCGGATGGCGCAATGGAGGGGCTCAATTGCTCACATCACTTTCCCCTCCCCTTTCTCCCCTCCCTCCCCTTCCTCCCCTCCCTCCCCTTTCCTCCCCCACTGTGCAGGAGTGGTGGAGATAGCAGACCTGGTGGTGGTGAACAAGGCGGACGGAGCAATGGAGGGGGCAGCGCTAGCAGCAGTGGGTGAATACAGCAACGCGCTGCACTTTGTGCACCCGCGCTACGACTTCTGGATGACTCCGGTGAGCGGGACCTGGTTACAGTGGGCCAGGTCGTTAGTCGTCTCTCTTCTGCAACTCCCCTCACTTTCTGCCCCCTCGCTACAACCTTCGGATGGCCCAGTGTTGGGATGTTGCAGTGCTTGAGTGCAGCAACGCACTGCACTTCTTTCACATGGCCCTCTTGAACTGACTTTCAGGGACCTGGTTACAGTGTTTGGAGCGTAGGTTTGGGTCTTGCATACCATTTAAAGTGGGTATTTATGTAATTACACATGCTGTGTTTACTGCTCACAAGGTGCGTCATATGCAATAGGCACCCATGCAAGCACCATGCATGCTGCACTCCCATGCTTTAGCCTGCTCCTCTACCCCTTCTCACCCGTTCTGTGGCAACTGCCTTGCCTGTGCAGGTAGTGGCATGCAGTACACGCACAGGGCTGGGCATAGAGGACGTGTGGAAGAAGATAGGAAAGTTCCAGGAAGCCATGTGCTCGTCTGGTGAACTCCAACAGCTGAGGGGCGCTCAGAACAAGGCACTGCTGTGGAGCACTGTGGAGGCAGAAATACTGTACAAGTGAGTTTTGTATCTGTGACTTTTCCCTTGTTTATGTGCTGTTTTTAATATGCTTTCGTGTTTATGTATTCTTCCAGAGTATGTATGAAATCGGTCATTACTGACATGAATCGCTGTGGCTCCCATTACCAGATTTAGGTCAGGAGGCAAGCTTCAAGGGCTAATGAGGTACTTTGAGGAGCATGCAGTGTGGGGTGATATTGCAGCTAGGGCAGCCGCTGTTACAGTTGTTGACTCCATATTCAATGATTCAGAATGATACATATCATTTCTTCCAAACAATGTCGTGCATTTGATTCCTTGGTGTAAGTTGTTTGGCTGCTGCCATGTACGCATTTAACATTCAGTCTTTCATTGGCTTAACTGATTGCATCGTAATGCGCTTGATTGCGAAGCTATGTGCATCTAGCGGGTCTCTCTCAATCGAAGAAATATTTTTCAACCTGCCCGCCGTCACTGCACAGCTAGATTGTAAACCCAACTTGAGCCTTTTGGCTTCATTTGGGCCAGTGGGCTTGGGGGGGCTGCGGGAATGTTCGCTTCAGTTACAGTTCGCCCGTTATTTAGAAGTTCTCTGACTTGTTAGGTGTGTGGATTCCCGCAGGCTTGCCTTCAAACCCTGTGTTCCGTTAAGTGTCGACATGTACTGCCTACGTGCAGTTTTCTTGCACCAGCCCCTCGATTCTGGTTAGTTTTGTTGTTGAGGTGGCCTGCTTGCATCACTCACGTGACGCTTTGCTCCAACCAGCCCACATTGCTGACTCGCGTCGCGGGGTCACGTCAGAATGACCCGCTTCAGCCGCGCTGCTGAATATGCTTCGCGGAGCGCCATTCTGAACCGGAGATGGCGGGTGGCGCAATCTCGTGGTCCCAAGCGCAGCGCACATTCCCCCCCTCCCCAGCTCTGCGCGGGCGTCTTCCCCCGTGGTGCCAGTTCAACATCAACCGCATCTTGTTGAGCCTTCTGGAAAAGTTGGGGGCGAGCAGAACCCCTGCAACAGGTCCCCTTTCCGCAATCATCGGCGAAATTCTTGGTGCGAAAAAGCACCAGGGTTTCATTCGAGCTTCCCTTCCTCGTAGCTTCCCTTCCCCCGTTCACCTCCCCTCCCTCCCGCCCTCTCCATCCATCCACCCTTCCACTTTCCCGCCATCTTTTTCACTCCGCGGGGCTGCTCCCTCCTATCCCGATCTGCACATTCCCTCAAGTTCCGCACATCTCCTCTCGCGCTCTGCCCATCCCCTCCAACCACTTCCTCTACCGCAAACGATTGTTCCTTGCCCCATCCGCCTCTCTCTTGCTGAACGATTATATCAGCTTCGCTTCTCCTTTCAGACTTCAGTGCTCTCTTCAAAGCTACCAATTGCTTTCGAAAAGCGTTCAGATAGTGCGATCCTGCGCCGCTCTGCGGTTTTGTTCCCTTAGTAGCGTTCCGCGTTTCGTTCCTCTTCTCTGCTAAACTGACATCTCTCCGCCGCCAGGCAGGAGATGTCCTTTTAGCGGAGTAAGTAGGCTACGACTTGCCTCCTTACTTCCCTAAAGACCCTCTTACACCCCTTTCTCTGTGCTTCCAGACTTCCTATACCTCTCTTCTCAAAACTTGCCCCTTAAACCTCCTTGGAAATTATCCCTCCAGCCTTCCTTCAGAAACCCACGAAGCAGTCCCCTCTCTTCCACTCTCTGCGCCTCAGCAGCTCTCCTCAATCCTTTCTCTCAAGCTCTTTGGTTCCTCGTGACCATCTAGTCCCTACTTCTCAATTTCTTCACCTTCCTTTTGAGAAATGGAGTTCCTGCAGCAGCAGTACCAGCAGCAGCAGCAGTCGTTCCCTCTATCCTCCCCCGTCTCTCCCCTCGTCGACCCCCCTGTTGACGGCGAGGCGGCACTCGGCAATGCGCTTCTCGCGGCGCAGAATGCGATATTGGGCCTTGTGCGCCTCGTCGACGCCGTCAGCCAGAACCAGCGCGCCATGCAGCAGCAGCAACAGCAGCAGCAGCAGCGCCACCAGGTTGACACGCTTCACCAGCTGCAGTCCTCCCTCGCCTTCGCCGTCCCCGCGCTCAACACTCTATCCCAGGCTCCCCTTTCCGCCCCGGCCCCCGCGCCACACCCGCTCATCGCGCACGACTCGCCCGCCACGTCCTCGCTGTTCGTGCCCTCCTCGACTCCATCCGTCGCAACATCCTTTGCGCCGTCCCCCGCATCATCCGAGGGCTCCCATCCGTCCTCGCTGCCTGTTCTTCAGAAGGTCTTCGCCGGAAAGCGCTCCCGCGGTGGTGACTCCGCTAAGACTGTCCGCGGAAAGCGCGCTAAGCAGGAGCCAGTTTCTCTCGACGCTGCTGCGTGGTCTTCGGAGGAAGAAGACAAGGATTCTGATTCTGAAGTTGTCGCGTGCAAGGCGGCTCGTGACCAGGGTCCGCGGTACAAGGGCGTGCGCCAGCGCAAGTGGGGGAAGTGGGTGTCGGAAATTCGCGAGCCCCGCAAGCGCACGCGCATTTGGCTCGGCTCGTTCGACTCTCCCGAGGATGCTGCCCGCGCGTACGACGTCGCCGCACGCCTCCTTCGTGGATCCAAGGCGTCGCTCAACTTCCCCGGTAGCTTCCAGCTGGTCCCGTTGCCGCCCGCCACCGCCGAGACGCTGCTGAAGGCGAGCCGCGAGGCCGCGAAGATGTTCGACACGTCCGAGATTGCCGATGCGCTCGAGAAGTCTCTCCAGGGCCAGGCGATCCACACCGCCGGCCTTTCGCTCCCGCTCCCGTCCCCCGCCTCCCCCTCGTCCCCCGTTTCCCCTGCTGCGCCCGCTTCACCAGCGTTTGTTCCGGAGCTCGAGCCTTCGCCCGCTATGGGCGGTGTGAAGCTGGAGGCGACGGAGAGCGAGACAAGCAGCGAGGAAGACGCGGAGTGCCTTGACGCGCTGCTGCAAGACCTGGCGCCGATTGACAACACGGACAACATCTTCCGCGATATGCTTGACGACTTTGATGCGTTTGACGCGTCGCAAATTGCTGCTTCCGATGATGCGGAATTCTTCAGCGTTTGGGCGAATTAAAGAGCGAACCCTGCAGGCACATTCTCGTATGTTTTCGCCGCTCCTCGTCTATTCGTTCTGAAGCACCCTTGATCAAGACGAGTCCTGCGCTAGTTTTTATTTTTAGTTCTGTGTGCTTAGTCCCCCTACGGCAGTGGTGTGTTTTATCATGTGGCCTAGGGGATCGTCTTGTGGTGCATTGTAGAATGATCGCTAGTTCCTGCAAACCACATGATGAATCTCACTCTGCCATTGTCAATATTTTGCTAATAAGTTATTTTCTTCAGAATTGAGACCTCTGATACTGAAATGCTGTGCTTTTCCCAGTCAACGTTGTTTTTAATGATGTTATACAAGAATATGGGTGTAAGGAATAATACACATGCAAACATGTGAACAGAGCGACGTTAGTACGCTGAAAATGCGTCGTCTCGACTTATCTTGGCCAAACGACTCTTCTTTTACCTTCCACCTATATTAGCTTGCTCGCAACTCGTCTGTCCTGGTTCGATCTTGAGCCATGATATGGTTGGAGAATGCGTTCTAGCGGAGAATAGTATAGCAATTATTCCACGTGGCTCTAGAACGCAAGAGGGAATAGCGATGCAGGATGGATCGTTGACTTTAGTAAACGGCCCAAATGCGCAGGATGGATTAGCGACCTTGATAAGCAGTTCTAAGTTGCAGAATGGAGTAGCGACTTCCAAAGAGCGTTTCAGTGACGTACGATGAATGTGAAAGTGGCCCAGCTGGTGACTTGCTGTGCCTTTTCTTCGACGCCGTGCTAGAACGCAGCTCAATACCGTCTCAATGCACGCCGTGCTTGCGCATGGCACCGTTATCCAGCCATCCCATTGTCGTCGGCTTTCGCTGTCGTTTGCCGAGTTCTTCGCCCTTCGCCGAGTGTCGCTGAAGTTCGTTGCCGCCGTTCGCGGTGTTTCTCTTCCCGTCGCCAAGTTTGCTCCCGGCGTTCGCTAAGTTTCTCTGTCATTTGCCGGATTCTGAAGGCGCTTGCCGACTTTCGGTGCCATCAAGTATCGCTGCCTTTCGAATGCGCTCTGCTGCCGTCAGTGTGCTTCGAGTCCGCTCCGCTGACGTCAGCGTCCTTCGCATGCCGCTCTGCTGTCGTCAGCGTGCTTCCAATCCGCGTGCAGTCAAACACAACTGCTGCTGCCGCCCAGTTTCAACCCGCTGTTGACACCCGCCGCTGCTGGGCTAAACCCGCGTCGCCGCTCTCTCACACGCTGCTGCTCTCAGGTCGATCGTTCAACCCTCTGCTGCCACTGTCTAGTCACCTTCGATTCCTTGCATGTGTTGCTCTGCGTTCCGCCGTGCTGTATCCATCACAGTCATTTCTCGAAGCAAACCTCGCGAACGGCAGCGAAAGTCGGCGAAACCAGCGAAACGTAACGAACGGTTGAGAAACTCGGCAAACAACCGCGTCGGCGAACGGCAGCAGCTGTGCTGAAGACAGTCACTCTCCGCGAACACCAGAAGCTGTGCTAAAGGCAGCGATACTCCATGAACGGCAGCAGCTGTGCGAACGGAAGCCACACTAAGCGAACGGCAGCAGCTGTGCGAAAGGCACTGACGCTCCGCGAATGGCAGCAGCTGTGCAAATGCGGAAGGCAGCGACACTTCGCGAACGGCAGCAGCTACGCGAAAGGCAGCGACACTCGGCGAAAGATAGTAGCTGTGCGAAAGGTGGCGATACTCGGCGAACGGCAGTAGCTGTGCGAAAAGTGGCGACACTAGGCGAACGACTGCAGCGCGATGACGTCAGCAGAGCATTCGAAGCACGCTGATGACATCAGGGCAGGGCGGCATGCGAAGGTGCGTGTGCGCGCAGGGCAAGTGGGGGGGGCGCTGCGTAGGACGTAGGAGTCGTCGCGTAGGTGTCTTGCGTCGTCGTTTATTTCTGTTACTCCTCGTCCTTGTTTCCGTGCTGCTCTGACGCATTTCTGCTCTCCCCTGCCCTGTCTGCTCGTGTGCGCTGTGTGTGTGGAGGGATGGAGCACGGGAGATGCAGTCGCAGCGCCAGCAGGAGCAGCAAGGAGCAAGAGCGGCCGAATCAGCAGCGCGGAGAGACAGACATCATCGCGGCATGTAAAGGTGTGTGCGTACGGAGGGCAAGTGGGGGGCGCAGAAACAGTCTAGGTCGCCGCGGCAAGTCTTAGAATCAATTTTCGTTTCCTTCGAGTCCGGTTCCTATCCTGATTCTGATACGCTCTCGTGTGTGCTTGCTCCTGTGCTGTGTTCGCTGCTGTGGTTGGGTGGACTCCTTGACTGAAAGGCCCACGGACGCGTCAGCAGTCCTGCCAAGTCGTGGCGGAGAGGCGCTATGCCAGTATCCAATCGGCTGCTGAGGCGTTTCGGAATCTGCCTTACCATGGCAGCACGGTTAGTGAATTGGGCAAGTCTATCAGGGGGGGCTACGAACAGTCTAGGTCGCCGCGCGGCAAGTCTTAGAATCAAATTTTGCCATCTTCGAGTCCGTCTCCTCTCATGCTTCTGATACTCTCTCTTGTGTGCTTGTTTGTTCCTGTGCTGTGCTGTGCTGTGCTGTGTTCGCTGCTCTGGCTGGAGGGCGGCACGGACGCGTCAACAGTCCTGCCAAAGCGCGTCGGTGCATCGGATCCTAAGGAGGGGCTCTCGCAGAAACCATCCGACTTCTGACGCGTCTCGAAATCTGCGTCATCATGACAGCACGGTGAGTAAATTGGCCAACTCTATTGGGGGGGAGCATAGCTGTCGAGGTTGCCGTGCGGCAAGTCTTAGAATCAGATTTTGCTTTCTGTGAGTCTGGTTCCTCTCATCCTTCTGATACACTCTCTTGTGTGCTTGTTCCTGTGCTGTGTTCGCTGCTGTGGTTGGGTGCCCTTCGTGAGTGAAAGGCCCACGGACGTGTCAGCAGTCCGGCCAAGGCGTGGCGGAGAGGCGCTATGCCACTAACCAATTGACTGCTAATGAATCTCGGGATCTGCCTCACCATGGCAGCACGGTGAGTAAATTGGGCAAGTATATCCGGGGGGAGCATAGCTGTCTAGGTCGCCATGCGGAAAGTCTTAGAATCGGATTTGGTTTCTTCGAGTCCGGTTCCCATCCTGATTCTCATGCCCTCTCTTGTGCGCTTGTTCCTGTGCTGTGTTCGCTGCTGTGGTTGGGTGGACTCCTTGACTGAGAGGCCCAACGCGGAGAAGCGCTCCTGCCAAGGCGTGGCGGAGAGGAGCTATGGCAGTATTGAATCGACTGCTGAGGCGTTTCGGAATCTGCCTTATCATGGCAGCGGGGTGAGTCAATTGGCTGAGTCGATTGGGGGGGGAGCAGTCTAGGTCGCCGTGCCGCAAGTTGCGTGGATACATTTCTTTTCGAGTATTTTTCCACTGCTGCTTCTCACACACTCTCCTCTGTGCTCGTTTCTGTGCTCGTTTCTGTGCTGTGCCCTCTGCTGTGGATTAGGTGCGGAAGGACGCCCCCGTATTTGAGAGGCATTGACCATGGGCGGTGCGTTCTAGGGAGGTGCATGCGGCATGCGAAGCACGCTGACGTCAGCAGAGCGGCATGCGAAGGTGGGTGTGCATGTGCATGTAGGGCAAGTGAGGGGGGCGCGTAGGACATAGGCGTCGCCGTGCGGCAAGTCTCAGACCGAGTCTTCCTATTCGATTCCTGTCGAGTCTTTTTCCACTGCTGCTTCTCACGCGCGCTCTCCTCCTCTGTGCTCGTTTCTCTGCTGTGTTTTCCACTCCACACTCCCCTCTGTGCTCGTGTATGTGCTGTGTTTCCTGCTGTGGTGCCGGTGCCTCCTGCACTGAGATCCAAGGGGTGGTGCAACAGCAGCAGTCGTGCCAAGGGGAGGTGCTTCTCACAACGATGTGCTGTGAGCGAGCATCCGCACTACATGGCTCACCATGGCAGAAAGGTAAGTCGTTGGGGGGTCTACTGGGGGGGCAGAAGAGTCTAGGTCGCCGCGCGGCAAGACTTAGAAGTGATTGCTGTTTCTTTAAAGTCGGTTTCCACTGCTGCTTCTCACGCTTTCCCCTCTGCACTCGTTTCTGTGCTGTGTTCGCTGCTGTGGTGCCGGTGTATGCCTCCTGCACTGAGGCCCAAGCAGCAACATTCTTGCCAAGGTGTGGTGCGTTCTCGTAGAGGAGGTGCTGTGTGAGCGAGCATCCGCACCACATGGCTCACCGTGACAGTAAAGGTAAATCGTTGGGCGAATCTTCTGGGGGGGCAGAAGAGTCTAGGTCGCCGTGCGGCAAGTCTTAGAACTGAATTCTGTCCCTTTTGAGTCCGATTCCTCTGCTGTTTCTAACACACTCTCCTCTGTACTCGTGCCTGTGCTGTGTTGGCTGCTGTGGTGCCTCTGCCTCCTGCACTGCACTAAGGCCCCAAGGGCACAGCAGCTGTCAGGTCACGATATGGTGAGGAGGTGCTTCTTGGAGAGGAGGTGCTGTGCGAGATGGCGCTGTGCGAGATGGTGCTGTGCGAGATGGTACTGTGCGAGATGGTGCTGTGCGAGTGACGAGGCTCACCACATGGCTCGGAACATGGCTCGCCACGGCAGTATGGTCAGTTGGCTGGGTGGGTCTATTGGGGGGGCAGAAGAGTCTAGGTCGCCGTGCGGCAAGTCTTAGTGTTGATTTCTGTTCCTTTCATGTATGTTTCCACTGCTGCTTCTGATGCGCTCGTTTCTGTGTTGTTTTCGCTGCTGTGGTGGTGGTGCCTGCTGCACTGAGGACCAAGGGCACAGCAACAGTCATGCCAAGGGATGGTGCTTCTCAGAGAGGTGCTGCGCGAGTTAGCATCCTCGCCACACAGCTTGCCATGGCAATACAGTAAGTCACTGGGCTGGTCTATTGGGGGGACAGAAGTGTCTAGGTCGCCGCGCGGCAAGTCAAAGAATCGATTCTTTGTTTCGTTCAACTCTTTTTCCGCTGCTGCTCCTGACACACTCTACTCTCTGCTCGTTTCTGTGCTGTGTTCGCTGCTGTGGTTCTGGTGCCTCCTGCACTGAGGCCCAAGGACGCAGCAACATTCTTGCCAAGGGATGGTGCTTCTTAGAGAGGTTCTGTGGGCCGTGCGGCAGTACAGTAAGCCATTGGGCCGGAAGGGTCTATTGGGGGGGAAGAAGAGTCTAGTAGGTCGCCGTGCGGCAAGTCTCAGACCTGAAGTGAATTTCTTTCTCAGTCCGTCTCCTCTCCTCTGCTGCTTCTGACGCACCCTCCTGTGTGCTTGCTCCTGTCTTGTGTGTGCTTCGCTGCTGCGAGGGTCAACACCTCTGGAGCGACGAGGACTAGAGGGGCGCGAGCAGGCGTCATTTGATGCAAATAGGCTCACGTGCTGGCTTGTGGATGCTAGGGGCTGGAGGCGGGGGTGGGGAAGGCCTCAGCTGCAGACGGTGCGTTTGTCCCTTTCCCATCTCTTCCCCTTGACACTCCCGCCTCTTGCAACTTCCATTTCTGTCCTCCGTGGTTGCAAGGGGGAGTATGTGGGTTTCAGCTGCGTTGGCACTTGCATTTCTATCCCTGGTGTTTTCGTCATACCATGTTTGCCCTTGCATATTTGCTTCAGCCATTGCTCTTCGCTTGTTTGAGCATCCGAAAACATGCCCCTCTGAACGTACTCCCCTTGACTCCCCTGCTCTCTGCTTCTCTCTCTTTTTCTCCCCCTCTCCCCCCCGTCATGCAACAGGTGCGGTGCGGTTGTAGCAACACCGTCAACGTGCATGCATGGTTCTCAAAGGGGTTCAAGGTCAAGTGGTAAACCCCATTCTTCTCCATCACCCCCCTGGCTTTTTTCCAGCTTCACTCTCTCTTGCTGTTGTTCATTTTCTGTCTCTCTGCTTGTTGTACTGAGTTGCAGTTTCTTCCCCCCTTCCCCCCCCCCCCCCCTTTCCTCCCCAACCTGCCTTCTGCCATTTCCCCTTGCTGCAGCTTGCTTCTCCAGCCAGGCAGGCTGAAGCAGCGATGGAAGCCGAAACAACAACAGGCAGTGCAAGGAAGAGATGTGGGGTTTCAGGTGCAGCAGGTGAGTTCCATCCCTTCCCTATGACTTGCCCTTAACACTCCCGCCTCTTGCAAATTCTGTCTCTCTCCTCTGTGGTTGCGAGGGAGAGTACGTGGGGTTTCAGCTGCATTGGCACTTCTATTGCTGTCCTCCATTGTTTTAGTCGTACCATATGTTCCCTCGATTGCTTTCCTTCTGCCATCGCCCTTAGCTGACTTAAGCTTCGTACTCCCTTTTCTCCCCTTCTCCCCCCTATCACGCAACAGGTGTGGTTGTGGCAACAGCATCAACGTGCTTGCAGTACCACTAGTTGACAGGAGGGGAGGAGGGGAGGAGGCAGAAAGGGAGGGACGAGGGAAGAAAAAACGTGGTAAGAAGGGAAGCAGGGAAGGAGAGGAGGATGGGAAGGGGGAGCGGGGAAGGATGGAAGGGAGGGTAAAACAATTGCTTGATACACTATGAGATGTCCTCTTTTGCCCCTCTCTGCTCCTCCCTGCTCCTCTATGCTTCTCTCTGCTCTATTGAGTCATGCTCCTGCCTTTATTTTCAGCTGGTTTCCCCTAGTTCGATTGCATGCCTCTTGCCCCTTGTTGTCTCCCCAGCAAAGCAACAACCTTTCCCCTCAGGTTCACCTCCTCCTCTTGTATCTGTCCTCCCTGCGTCCTCGTCTTCTCTTCACAGTTCACCCAAAGGCAACGCCAGCATGAACAGCAATAGCAGTAGTAGCGAGGCAAATTAGCTAGTGCCAGGAATTTGATTGATTAAGGATGCATTGCTGAGGTATGGTAAGGTATCGTAAGGTCGTGCGAGTTAGAATGAAGTACGGTGAGGTACGGTCAGGCATGGTAAGGTACACCTGCCACACAACCAAACCAAGGCAAAAGAATCACCCAACGAAGGAAGAAGGTTCGCCTTGTTAAATAGAGGTACCACCAGTGCATGCACCACCGTCTTAGTAACTGAGAACAGCGGAATGACTTGCATTGATTGAGTTGGGGTACAAGTACCTAACCCTAATTGTTTGTCTCAAGATACTAGGACGAAAGATAGAACAGAGAAGAGGGGTTTGCACTAGCAGCATGCAAGGTACATATAGGAAACCCTAATTTGGGTTGTACTCGCTATAGAGTACCCCACTGCAGGCTAGACAATTACAACATTCTGACACACCCCCATAGCCAAAGTGGGGTGTAATCAGCACAAATAACCAGTCATAGATCAAGTCCACAAATGCAAGTAAAGCTAGAGGCAGTCACAGAGGGCAAGTGAGGAGGAGGAGAGACTGTGAGGGGCGATCTGCTGCAGGCGATGGGCGAAGCTGCAGACACAACGGGCAACAGGAGCGGCGCACACAGTGGCTACCGAGCGCACGAGGGCACCGGACTACGGGAGTATCTGGCTCCGCGGCTACGACGAGCACACACAGGAGCAACTGACCCACAGGCGACTGGCGAAGCAGGCTCGCTGGGCTACCGAGAGCACGACGGCTCCGGACTACAGGCGCTGCAGACGACACGACAGCGACCTCCACTCTCCCCCCCCTAACAGTCCCACACCCCCTTCTCACACACCCCTTGCTGCACCCCTAGATCCACTTCTCACGCCACCCCCCCTTAGGGCCACTCCCTCGGCTCCCACACATCCACCCCCCTCAGCGGCAGCTGCAGCAGTGGGAGACGGAGGAGGAGGAGGAGCAGGGGACGGAGCACACAGCCAGCACCCCCAGAGGCGCCACCCCCACACTCGCCACCCCCCAAACCCTAACAGAGGCATAAGGGGGGGGGGGGGGGGGGGCGATGCGGGGGCGATTCGGGGGATGGCGCGCGGCTCCCCAGGGCGACGCGACGGGGCAGCGGGGGGTCGCGCGCGGCTCCCCAGGGCGCCGCGACGGGGCAGCGGGGTGTCGCGCGCGGCTCCTCAGGGTGCCGCGACGAGGCAGCGAGGGGCCGCGCGCGGCTCCCCAGGGCGCCGCGACGAGGCAGCGGGGCCGCGCATGGCCCCCCAGGGCGCCGCGACGAGCGGCGGGGCCGCGCGCGGCTCCCCAGGGCGCCGCGACGGGGCAGCAGGCGTCGCGCGCGCTTCCAGGGCGTCGCGACGGGGCAGCGGGGGTGACGGGGGGGTCTGCTGCAGGCGACGGGCTGGCTGCAGCAGGCGACGGGAGGGAAACGACGGGGGGAAACCGCCGCGCGCCCCGGGGCGCACGGCGGGCAGGAAACCACCGCGCGCTTCATGCGCACGGCGAGCAGAAAGCCGCCGCGCGCACGAGCGCGTGGCGGGAAGAAAAATCCGTCGCGCGCCACGGGGCGCGCGACACACAGAACAGCAGCGGAAGCTAACGGGTGGGACCACCCACAGGATCGACCCAGGAGGGTCGACCTGCTCTGATAGCATCTCAAGATACTAGGACGAAAGATAGAACAGAGAAGAGGAATTTGCACTAGCAGCATGCAAGGTACATATAGGAAACCCTAATTTGGGTTGTACTCGCTATAGAGTACCCCACTGCAGGCTAGACAATTACAACATTCTGACAGTTTGTACCCCATATAGTATGACCCACTAAGGGCTATAACATTTGACACACCCCCATAGCCTAAGTGGGGAATGCCAAGTAACAGAACACAACCTAAGGTCACAAGACCAGTCACAAGCAAGCGAGAAAACAAAGCTCAGGGTGGATCTCAACGTCACCACACATTCTGAGCACAAACAAGGGGCCACAAGGCCAGTTCAAGAGTGTACAAGCTAATATATATATGGTACAAACAAGCAAGAGGCAAGAACTCACTACTGCAGTCTACTAGACCCAGTCTCAACAAGGCCTAACTGCAGACAAAACCGGCGGTGGTCACAAGGCTGAAGAGCCTTGGTGAAGATGTCTGCAGTGTTGGCCTCGGAGGCCACGAAGTCCAGACGTGCCTGTCCACGTCTCTGCAACTCTCGAAGGAGGAAGTACCTGACGTCGATATGCTTCACCCTGCTCTCCAGTCGAGGCTCACGACACAGGAGAATCATCGCCTTGTTGTCAGCAAACAAGGTCGGTGCAGAGCTCGGCCGCTCACCAAGGTCAGTGAGCAAGAAGGTCAACCAGCGTAGCTCCTGTGCAGCGAGGGCTCCAGCGTAGATCTCGGCCTCTGCGGTAGAAGTCGCAACAGAGGAGGACCGAGTAGACCTCCACGAAACAGCTCCAGAGCCCAGGCTGAAACAGTAACCCTGTGTAGACCTCTGTGACTCAACGTCGTCGGCGTAGGAGGAGTCGCAGTGACCGGTGAGTACAACTGGCTGTGTCCCTCCAAGTACAAGCCCCATGTCTGATGTCGCGCCGAGGTACTTCGCCACCCTCTTAGCTGCCGCCCAGTGAACAGGACGGTGTCTCCCTGTCGCAACAAAGCGAGACAGGATGCTAAGAGGGAAGGCGAGGTCCGGGCGAGTGCACGTCATCAGGTACATGAGGCAGCCCACCAACTCTGCGTAGGGACCACTGGGCTCGAACGGCTCGTCAGGAAAAGGCCCAGTGAGTCTGTGGTCTACAGCAAGAGGGGTGGGAGGAGGAGAGGAGTGCTGAAGCCCGAACCGCTGAAGGACCTGCTGCACCATGTGTGACTGAGTCAGAGTGATGGTGCGAGCGGCTCTGTCCCTGGAGATCTGCAGGCCAAGGTAGCGGCGCAGTTCCCCAAGGTCAGTGCAGGTGTGTCTCTTCTGCAGTTCGGACTTCACCTCCGCCAGTGCAACTGTGTCGGCTGTGGCAAAAACCAGGTCGTCAACGTAGACAAGAACAAAGAAAGGTGTGCGCCCACGACGAACAAACAGCGACGGGTCGGCGGAAGACGGCTCAAACCCAAGGTCGGACAGAGTAGAGCGGAGAGTGTCGTGCCACTCACGGGGTGCCTGGCGGAGACCGTAGACCGGTCGTCTGAGGCTCCACTGGGTCCCAGGCGGGAAAGTGCCAGTGAAGCCCGGAGGACAACGCAGCCAGATTTCCTCGTATAGGCTGCATTGCAAGAAGGCAGTGGAGAAGTCGAGAGAGTGTAGCTCGTAGTCTCTCTGCGCTGCTACGTGCAGTAACACCCGAAGAGTGGTCATCTTCGGGGTGGGCGCAAAGGTCTGAAAGAAGTCAACTCCCTCACGCTGACTGAAACCTCTAGCCACGTAGCGTGCCTTGAAGACTGGAGGAGATCCCGGCGGCCGCTTCACCTTGAAGATCCACATGCCGTCAACAATGTTCGCCCCTGGGGGGGGAACCTCGTCAACGCAAGGGCCTGTGGACCTGTAGGAGGCCATCTCTGCGTCCATGGCAGCTCTCCACTGAGAGGCCCAAGGCCGTGACACTGCCTCAGCGTAAGTGCGAGGAGTAGGTATGTCAGGAGCGTCGGGGTCTCCCTCAGGAGCGAGCAGCATGGCACAGAGATGAGGCGAAGCGGCTGCTAGGAACTCTAGCTCAAACTGTCTATCCTCTAGGACGGCACAGCCAAGGGCAAACTCACCCCCGGCGGACAGAGGACGGACAGGAGGAGCCGCCACAACGCGAGTGGCGTAGTCAAGGCGACGCGTAGCAGTAAAGTCTGTGACAGCGGCAGTGAGGACCGCGACGGAGGAAGGAGAGGCAGGAGGGTCTATAACAAGAGAGGCGAGAACACGAGAGAGAGTGGGGCGGTACGTGCGGTAGTAGTCAGTGACCGGAGTGGACAGGGAGGCAGTGAGGGACGACTCAGGAGGACGAGGAAGAACAGACGGAGGAGAACGAGGAGGACTAGGACGAAACAACACGGTACGAAGGTCACGGACAGGTGACGAGGGACGAGCACGAGGAGGACGAGAGGCCCAAGTGTGGGAGAGAGGAGTGGGAGACGGAGCGGGAGACGGAGGAGACTGAGAACGAGGGAACACAGCCGGAGCTGAGTCCGGAGGAGGAAACGTCGGACCGAACACAGGAGGAGAGGAGGAGGGGAGACCAAGGGCCCGAAGGCCAGTAACAGAGGCCGGAGGCTGCTCCGGCTGCTGCGGCGGCTGCTGCTGCTGCTGCTGCGGCGGCTGCTGCTGCTGCTGCTGCTGCTGCTGCTGCTGCTGCTCCCGCTGCAACTCCAGCCTCTCACGCTCCACCCGCTGCTGAACCTCCAACCTCTCACGCTCCAAACGCTGCTGCTCCTCACGCTCAAGACGAAGACGGGTCTGGTGTCGAGTCAGGTAGGGGTGAGGAGGAGGAGTGGTGTCAGGAGACGAAGAAGAAGAACCGGCTCCGCCCTCGACAGCACCCGGCTGAGAACCCCCAGAGCGTGTACCCCCTGCGGCAGCACGACTAGCACCTGTAGGAGGT